AAATTATTATAAAGGCATTATTTATTCAATGCTACATAACAAAATTCTTGCATGTATTTGAATTATGTTCAAGGGAGTCTACAAGTTTTTACTTCCTTCCCTCTCCATTTCAAGCTGACAAATTGGATATAGAAATGCATTTGTAAATACATATTGATATACAACACATGGTGAAACTAATGTTGTTGCTTGTAAATATTAGTTTCACCATGTACTGTATATTTAGGCTTACAGTATATATTTGCACTAGGGCTGTCAAACGATTAAAAATGTGAATCAAGTTAATTACAGCTTTAAAATGTATTCATCGTAATCGCATTTCGAACTATCGGCAAGATAATGCCATATTGTTCTGTAAATGGTTGTTTGAATGGAAATATATATGACATCATAGTATACATATGTACTGTATTTGTTTATTATAACAATAAATCCACATAAAATGGCATTAACATTATCAACATTGTCTTTCTGTAGCAGACAGTATTTTTTCAGCTCAACATAATCCGCTTCAGCTAAAGCCTCCTCTTTCTTCTTTTTCTCTGTCTCATAAAGGCTGTGGAAAAATTAGGTACCCCAGCTTTAATTTAGCGAGTTTAAGATGCTAAGCGGGAGGAGACACGGACACTTCCTGAGGCTCCATAGTGCAGCTTCAGCGCTGTATTTATTGTGCGTATGGTCTTGACTCTTGGATATGATCACGATACAGTGGCACCGTTCACCTTGTTGTTGTTAGCGGCTCACAGCAGCTGGAGGTGGGAACCGCTGTAAAGAGCAGCCGCAGCTGCCCCGGGTCACGCACGTATTCTATATAAACTTTAAATCCCAGAGGGCCTACCATGTCGCCATCACACGCATGTGTCCGCGGCATGTTATTATGGGATGCATATAGGCAGGTCATTCAGTACAAGCGTTAAATGCGTAAAAAAAATTTACGCAATTAATGAAAAAAATTAATTAACGTGCCTTAACGCGATAATTTTGACAGCCCTAATTTGCACGTGTAGGTATATACCGTAAGCACAGAAGGCAACATGTATAAAGGGTCACGTAAGGAATGTAAATATTGTAAATACTTGTGATTGTAAAATTTCTGCTTGAATGAATAAAATCAATCAATCAAAGAGAGAATCAAGGGTGAGACATGCACTTTGACACTATCTGAATGTCTCAGAGGGCCTGATATCTTAATTTATGTTGTATTAACATACTCTCCAACCATTGGACAAATTCAGTGCAGAGGCTAAACTATTGCAGTAATACACACAGGTACAAAACTAAGCACATTCATGTGGAATATCTGGGGAGTGCATATGCTCAAGGATAAAGCACATCAAGAGGCATCATCTTGTTTTAGACACCTATGGGCTGGTTATGCATAACATGATTCAGATTGTCTGGTTGTGTAGTGAGAAGACTTAATCTCAAAAACCATACATGAATTTTAGTGTTTTATTTATACTAGAAATTAGAATATATTTGAATTTTTATTTTGAGCAATAAATTCTGTAATCTCCCTGGGCGTAAAACAATTTGTTTCTGCTGGCCACACGTGCGACAACCAATCAGAGAGCCGCAAAGTGGTAACAGTCAGAGCAAGAAGACGAAAACACTTTAAAACAGCCAAAACAGGAGCAAAACCAGGACTGAACCAAGCCTAAATCAGGACTAAACCAGGACGGACAATGGGGGACACAGTGCATGTGAACATTTGCCTCCAGCCTGAGTTCTGATTCTTCTGCGACTTTTACTAAGTGCTGCTAACGTGTTCGCCAATGCAGAAGTACTGGTTAGTAATAATCAGAGATTCATCTCACTCAGATGCTCGCAGACATCTCTGACTGCCACCCCCCTGACCCAGAAATGGATTAAAGGGAAGAAGATGGATGGATGGATGGATGGATGGATGGTTAGTAATAATATAAACCTATGGCCAGCTCCGTAAACACATACTGCTGTTAAATAAAGTCTATGAAGGTCTAAGACTCAGAGACGAGGCCGAGCTGTATTCATGGAAAAGAACTTTACTGTACACAAAAAGCTGCAAGCTTAACTCTGTTAGCATCAAAGCCCATGTCAGTAAAATATTCAAATATTAAGGGCTGTCTAATACTCGTTTGAATGTCCTTTTTTTAGCATTCAAATTATATTTCAATATCAAATATCATTATCCAAGAAAGCAGGCCACATGTCTGTCAACATGATTACAACTGTGAGGAGCAGAGAAAAACCTACAAATGCACATGTATCGATGCTTGAGGCAGATGTTGTTTACTAAACATTGAAATGTGTCTTGTTTACAGGTAGTTACATGTTAACCCGGGGCTTAGACAGCCTGCGCTAACACCAGCACTAAACTGCACTAATACTAGTTTCTATGTCTTTCTGCAAATTAAACCTTACCTCATTAACTTCAGACATTTCTTCTTCTGTTTGTCATCGACGGGGAAGTGGTGGAATTAAACTTTAGTTGTTGCTTTAGTTTCAAATCTGGTGAAACAGCAAAATACACAGCACTGCGGCATATCTACAACAATGGCTATTGGCCCTGGAAGTTTGGGCGGGAAATAGTGCAGAGACCTGAGAACTGGACTAATGTGGTCGTACTTCCTGGCTCTAATCAGGACACGACAACTCATCAATCAATCAATCAACGTTTATTTATAGAGCGCCTTTCCTACACAAGGCAACGCAAAGCGCCTCACAACCCATATAACATCATGCATAAATCATCAAACATTAGAATTTAATCACTCATCAAACCTCATCTCGTTTGGAAAGAACTGTGAGCATCTGTTACATCTGTTACACCAGGGGTGCTCAAACCTTTTCCCCCTGGTCTACACTGTAAAACACGCAGCAGACCAGACTTGATGTAAAATATATGAAGTAATTACTACTACTTAATCTTAAAGGCACACCGCGGACTTTGTGACCTAAAGAGTTGACACATATGAGTTATTTTATATGAATACTTGGGCCAATATACAGCGCTTGACACTTGCAATGCTCCGAGCGGGGCTGCCCTCTTGAAATACCGCCCATGTAAGTTTTGAGCAGACGGACCGTCTGCCACCAGGTCACGTGACTTGGAAGAAAGACTTGCTTTACGGCTACAGGCGCTGATATACTCATGGAGCTAAGGCTTTTGCTACTCATTTTTCACCTGCTCGACTCCTGGTCATGGCTGAGGCAAGGAAAATTTTAAACCTTCGGAGGAGGCTAAAAAGAGGAAACGCGAAAGGGATCGTGCTGTAAGCTGCATGTCTGTATGAGCGCTGCTCTTCACCTGGTTCCTGGATGTCATCGACTGCAAAGATGTCATTCCACGCAGCACGAGCTAGACGCAGAACTCCCTCATCCAGGATATAGAAGTCCATGTGTGGTAGATTACTAATGCAGCGGTCTGGAGGCTGACCACAGCAGAGTCTCTCAATATCTGTAGGCATGTCTCTACAGTTTGAACACACACACCAGTGCATGCTGTCTGAATACACACTCAAAAGACACCGGCTGACTGTTTGTTGACTTTTGCGACAGTGCTGAGTTGCTTGTGGCCACTAGGGGCGCTAAACGTGAAAGTTGCAGGTCTAGCGCCCCTAGTGGCCAAGAGTTACACGGTGTGCCTTTAATATATACTTCATATTGAAACTGTAACATTTTCATAGCCCCCGATACAAAACTGATTTTATTGCTTTAATAACAAAACAAATATAATGTGTTGATCAAAAACAAAATGGTTTGGGTAAAGCAGTGACACTACCCAGAATGCATTGCAGAGTAAAATATAAACAATCCTTTATAAAAATTCTACATTTGAGCGCTATTTGAGTTTTGTTTGCAGTAAAAGTTTCCATGCATGGCTCGAGCCCCACCAAATGATACCCACACGTTGAGTTCTCCCAGGAGCCATTACTGAAGCACTGGCTGAGTGGTTAGCACTCTCGCTTCTCAGCATGAGAGGTCCTGAGTTTGCCTTTCTGAGTAGAGTTTGCATGTTCTCCCTGTGTGTCTGCGTAGTTTTCCTCCGGGTGTAAGTCATAGTTTTTCTTTGAATGAACACAAAAATGTTAAGGAAATCAATCACTTCAAAGTAATAGTTTTGCATTCTGTCAATTTCATATTTTGTATTCAAGACTCAAGATTTGTTTATTTTTGTCTCCTTTAGGAGAGATTTGGTTTGGACTGATGGGTCCGCTACATTTCAATACAAAAAAATATATATATACAAAGACACCAACACACGTGCTGTACAGCTCACACACACTTCAGCTTACCTAAGAGCTGAAGTGGACAGGACACTTTTTACAGTGAAACCTTCTGGATACAAATGAATGAATAAGAATCTCCAAGTCTGCTTTAGACTATTTTTGATTCAATGCTTTTCACATTGAATTGATATTACATCCAACTGTTATATAATAATATACTATAACAGTATAGTCTGTATACTCTACTCATATATAAACACATATATAAACTCCACTACAAACATGTGTATTAGTCACTTTCCAGAATTTTAAACAAGTGAGGCATATAGTGCTTATGTAGTATCTAACTAAGAACTCCATGAACGACTTTTCATGTCATAACTTCAGAGCAGCGTTCTTTGCTGTCACTACAGAAGCTAATAGCTAATAATATCTCATTTTGGCCACATAAACATGTGTCTACTGTAAGTGAATCAATGCCATTACTACTGCTCCAACAATGTGGACTCACTCTCTTCCAAAGAAACTTATGCTGCACATTGTGTATGCAGCAGGAGCATATCACTCTGTACTGTTGACACATCAGTGACAGAAGCATTTCATTAAGCGCTTGTTAATTGAGCAAATGGCATTACGTGTTATTTATAGTCTGCGACGGACGCGATAGTAAACCCTGAGCCCGGGAGAACCCAAGAGCAACATTACGAGCAACAGTCCTGCGCAGTGTTCTCTCCAAGTCCACAAACATCGAGGGTCTAGGGCCATGGAACCTCCAGCAGCGGGACTTACCCAGAAGGGAAGCTCCTGCCCGCACAGCCGCTCCATGGAGGAGTTGTCGAGGCGGGATCAACAGGGAGCTCCTCGGCCCGGTCCCGGCCACAGACAGACGCTCACGCCCCGGTCCCCGTCTCAGTTCGCGCTGTTTACGGAGCTTTAACACATACGGACTCACGAAGGTTCCACACTCTTCTCCCTGCGCGGACTGGTGGGTGCTCGGACCGAGATACGAAGACCTGGCGCCGCTTCCGCTCCAGGGAGGAGGGAGAGAGGGAGAGAGGAGGGAGGGAGGGGGGGGGAGAGAGAGAGAGAGAGGGAGGGGGGGAGAGAGAGAGAGAGAGAGAGAGGCAGGCAGAGAAAGGGAGAGAGAGAGGAAGAGAGAGGAAGAGAGAGAGGCAGAGAGAGAAAGAGAGGTAGAGAGAGAGAGGGGGGAGAGAGAGAGGGAGGGAGAGGCAGAGAAAGAGGGAGAGAGAGAGAGGCAGCGAGAGAACAAGAGAGAGAGGGAGGGAGAGGCAGAGAAAGAGGGAGAGAGAGAGAGGCAGAGAGAGAAAAAGAGAGAGAGGGAGGCAGGGAGAGAAAGAGAGGGAGAGAGAGAAAGAGAGGGAGAGAGAGAGGCAGAGAGAGAGAAGCAGAGAGAGAGAGGGAGGGAGGGAGAGAGAGAGAGAGGGAGACAGGCAGAGATACGTGTGTGGAGGGGTGTGTGTGTGTATGTTTATGGAGACCGCCCCATGTGTGTGTGTGTGTGTGTGTATGGGAGAGCGAGAGAGGCCCGTGTGAGTGGAGGGGCGTGTGGGTGTGTGTATGGGGGAGAGAGACTGCCCCCGTGAGTGTGACCTCATTAGACCTGGGGCGATAATATTACAATTCATCCATAACCAGAGGTGGGCAATTATATTCTCCGGGGGTCCTAATATTTACAATCAATGGGCTTGGGGGGAGGCACATTGGGATAATGTCTTATTGAGGAGAACCAGACCCGTTTATATGCAGTTACTATTTCATCTAATTTGCCAAAACATTTTTTTTTTTCTGTGAAAGCGAGTTACAAAATAATTAATTTTTTCGTAACGGCCCCTCCCTTTGGAAAAACCACCACATGGAAGTTTTGCTTATCAAATTTTGAGGGATATAGGCTGCCCATCAAGGATTTAAATTATTAAACCGTTAAGAAGGCCGTAAGGGCCGGTCTAACTGTCACAAAACATTTCTCACCTGCTAGCTCAATGAAGCCCAATAGGGAAGTGCTCATGGATGAAGTTTTGCTCTGACTGACTTACATCAAAAAGTAAACTCCTTTAGCTTGGCAACCATTTGTGTCACACATTTTGGGTGATTTAGCGCTCTCTGTGATCCCGAGTTTGAGTGGGGCGAGAGCAAGCCGAGTTTTGTTGGTTCAGTTGTCTTTATTTGAGCATCTGTTGGACATTGAGGTAATAAAAGAGATAATAAAAAACTGTTTGTTTCACTAAAGTGCAACAAGGATTTAGAGCCAATGTATTTCGAATAAAAACCGTTCAGGATGAAAAACGACACTAAGATCCCCACAAAGTCCAGCCTTTGTGAAAGCTGTAGGTCCCCTACATGGATCTAAGATAATATCTGGATACAGCAGTGCTTTTCAACCACTAGTGTGCCGTATGATATGATCTAGTGTCCCGTGAGAAATTCGCCTACTTTGTCTAAAATAAACTGCATCCACCGTTGGCGAGTGCTGACTTGTTTTATACAGAAAACACATTTTCATATCAGTTGGTGGCAGGAGATAGCTAAGTACTTTGAAACATAAGAATTGGATGCGATCACCAGATGTAACAAGTAGCGGGGAACTTTGTAGGCGAGAAACGTAAGAATTGGATGCGACCAACAAACGGAACAGGTAGCGAGGAGCATTGTGGCGAGCAAGACGTGAAAGTGATTGAGACGTCTTTGAAAAGGAATTATGCCATTTCTGAACAGGATTCACATCCTCCGCTCTGACCCCGGGGCAGCTGTGGCTGATTTGTACTGACAGCCGCTTTAACAATAGCTCAGCGAACGCACATCCGTAAAGTGGTACTGAGTGCTGACCATAGATGTGTGGACAGAACCATTGACTCGCGGCTAGAACCACTGTGTCTCTCCCTTGTCTCCCCCATGTCTCCTCCATAGACCGTACATTTTAAGTCTCATCCCAAAGGACAACCATCGCCATGCATGAACAATGCATGTTATTTGTCTACAAAAGTAAAATGTTGTAAACAAATCAAACAGAACACACAACAGGCCATTTTTTTAAATTATTTTGCCACACTTAAGAGCCCTGTGAGTCATTGTTTGACTTTTTGGGCTAAGAGTTGTATTTTGTTATACTTCTTTCCACACAGTTAGTGCCACTTTATTCCCAAACTCTTGTTAACTCATTGTATTGAGAAATATTTAACTAAGCTTATTGTCAAGGCCTGGATTTAAGCACTTTGAGATTGACTTTATATTGTGAATATAGGCTACAGAGTATATATTTTTAAACTTTCTCCTGGTGGTGTGCCGTAAGAGTTTTTCAATGAAAGAAGTGTGCCTTGGCTCAAATAAGGTTGAAAAACACTGGGATAGAGTATTACTAGCTTATAGCTGTCCCAGCCACAGGCACAGGGGGCTACACAGAAAAATGTCCCATAGAACTCAATGTAAACTAAAAGAGCTCACCCTCAGCTTTCATAAAGGTCGGATTTTGTGGGGATTTTAGTGTCCCTTGTCATCCTAAACTTTTTTCTTGTTAAATCCGCTGGTTTTCTGCTCGTTTGGCTCCCGCTCTAACTCCGCTCTGATCATTGGTCAAAGCGAGATCTTGTCCACCGGAAGGACCAGACTATGCCAAAATATGGGCGTGTTTTGCTAATCTTTCGGACCCAAGTTTGCCCCGTGCGCTACTGAGCACAGGCCATTGAGGCCATTGAGTAGGCCGCCATCTTGGATTACCAGGGCTTGGTCCCCTGTCAGCTGAGGGCGGAGGACCAAGCCCTGATGATCCAAGATGGTGGCCTACTCAAATCAATGAGTAGGACGAGTAGGCTACAGTGCAGATGGCCCCTTGTCCATGTGGAGACAGGTTTGGCTCTGGTGTATGCTGTCTTCTCTGTCTGGTGCACACTGGGGTAGTCTTGCAGTTTTTCCAATGTGGTTTTACTGCAAATGGCAAATCAATTCTCGAATCTTCTTGAATCTGTTAACATGAGTTTCCCCCACAAATTAATGCATCTGAGAAGTCCATCATCTTTGGTTTGTATCTCGAGACAATGTCAACATCATGGTCATACTTGCAAGCAAAAGTCAGATCTTGTTAGACCTCGGAAACTGTGCGGGGCAGGGCCTAGTTAGCACTGTGATGGGAGACCTCTGAGTGCCACTGAAAAGTTTTTAACTGTTGATGTGTCCTTAGGCAAGACACTTCACCCACATTTCCTAGAATGAGTCTGGTGTGTGTGTGAATGGTTGGTGGTGGTGGGAGGGGCCGATGGCACAGACTGGTTGCCTCGCTTCTGTCATGTTCCCCAGGGCAGCCGTGGCTACAATATTAGTTTATCACCACTGTGTTTGGAGTGATAGATTGATGACAATAATGACATGTAACGCGTCTTTGAAGGTAAAAAAAAAACACGATACATAAAACTAATGCCAATGCTAGTGTTACTAGATCCTAAAATCTGTATTTTGGATATATACAAACAACAAACCCCAAAAACCAAAATGCTTTCTAGCATTTATGCTGCCCGCCTCTCGATTCTACATGTTTGGATACAGGAGCATCCGCCCTCCCTTAATCTGTGGCGTGAAAAGCTCCTGTCAATTCTGCCCTATGAAAGACTTTATAATGTTCTGATAGGAAACCCAGACTCCTTTTACATTTATTTATTTGGTATGGACATAATAGCATTGGACAAACCAGATACATTGTTTTTAGTGTTATAGCAAGACTGCTAATTTACAACACCTGTTGTTCTTTGTTGAAGAATGGACACCACTAAGAGACTTTTTTGGAAAAGAATTGCAGATAATATGTATGAATATGAACAGAAACCTTATTTCCTATTTTTCTTTTTATATTTAATACCATGATGCTAGTGTAAAGAACTGAACATATTTAGCTGCAGACCTTCAGTACAGATGTATAACTGTGTTTGTGTACAGTGTTGTGTTTTAACTGTTCATTCTCTGATCTGTGTTGGTGATTTCAATGGTTTTGTTAAGTCCTCTGAGATTACTTCTGTTGTGATTTAGGGCTATACAAGAATACATTGTATTGTATCGTATTGTACGCGTCAGTGCCTGTTTATATGATTACTATGTGGATGTGTGTAAGCTCCTGGCTCTGGATATTTGTATGTGTGCATTTGTCACAGGTTTAAAAGTGTCTGTTGAGGGGGTGCGATCATTATAAGGGAAACTGGATAAAAAGGGGATAACATTTAATAAAATACATACAAAAAGGATCCATAAAAAAGATGATAAAAGCACAGAGACCACGGGTCGGCACCGGGCACCCGCGGGGGAGAGCCGGTGTTCTGCCGAGTTGTGCCGCTCTGCCGAAAAGTGACGCTTATGTAATGCTCAGCTGTTAATGATGTAATGCAAACCTGCGCGCATGCGCGTCTCACGGCAGCCGAAACAAACCAAGATGGCGGACAGAAAGTCCGAGAATTGCTTTAAAAGTTATAATACGAACGAAATAAGACACGAATGTTAGACACAACTGACACCACACTTACTTAACACACGTTAATCCTACTAACACACACTAACACTCACTAACCATGCTAACCCACACTGACACACACTTACTTAACTCACCACTAACACACGCTAACACACACTGACACACACTAGCCACACACTGAACACACTTACTCTAACACAGCCCTAACACCGCTAACACACACAGACCACACTGACACAACACTAATACACACTAACACTAGTGTTTATGTGTGTGAGATTGGTTGATTGTGTGCCTAAAGAACTGCGGCTCCAAATGGTTCTTGTTCAGTTTTTATATTTGTTTCATAATCATTACTGGGATCCATTGCTTGCTCAGAGTGAATAGAATGTTTTATTCTTCCAGACGTTTATACTTTTCAAGAAATTCTACTGAGGACTTGATTATTATTCAATCAATCCACTTTATTTATATAGCCCTTTTAATAAACACAGTTTCTAAAAGTGCTGACATAAACAAACTAATTAAAAACAAGCAATACCCTAGCTAGATCATATAAATAATGATAATTAACCTCGTAAATATAATGTCCTAATTGTTTTTCTAACTAGTGGATTAGTACCGGCATTCAAACCTGAACTGAGGAACAAAGCGGTCCATTTACGCTGCCTACTTTCTCTCTCAGACAAAAACAAACAAAAATGACATTCATTAACATGTGTTTCTATGTAGGTTTATGTGAACGTTTCTAAGTCTCGTTTCAATCATTTCATGTGATGCTGTACTAAAGACACAGTTATTGATGAAACTATGTTATTATGTTATAAGTGTATTCAGCACAACTGCAAAAATATGGTAAATATGCATAAATGTTGGAATGGATTTTATTGTCAAGCACTTTGGTTTCCTTGAATGTTGTAAAGGGCTCTATTCATAACATTGAATTGAATTGAAAGTACAGAAAAGGTTGAAAGTACAGAGATAAAACAAGGTTAAAAGTACAAAAATAAAACAAACAAAACAGGAAGCTTGTGGAAATCTGTTAGGAAAACGAGAAGTCCTGCATCTCAGTGAATGATATCTTCGGCCAGAGGGAAGAAGCTGGAACATGGCTTTTCCAGGTCCAGAAGAGTCATTGATCGTTCTAAGAGCTGGACTTTTAAAGAACCTCCAGAACAGAGAGCTCACAGTCTCTCTCTGGTCACTGTATGGTCTCTCTGGTCTCTCTCTGGTCTCTCTATGTTCTCTCTCTCCGGTCTTCCTCTGTTCTCTCTCTGGTCTCACAGCTCACAGTCCAGAGCTCCCATTTCTTTCACCGTGATGTCCCAGAACCACACGGTCACAGAACCAACAAGCAAACTGTTAGTGGTGATGATCCAGGACATTCGACATTCAACAATATTTATTAATGTATTTATAATTATTCATATTTACGGACATTGGTCATCTGCCCCTTATGGACCAATGGCTCTATGTGTTTGTGAATCACTGTCTTTGTGAAGTCCTCTGAGATGACTGCTGTTATGATTTAGGGCTATACAAAAAACAATTTAATTGGGAAAGACCCAGAGTAGGAAAATACACTCTGGTTTATTTAAGATCACAATGTTTCCTTTAAAGTGGTAAGATATAAGATTTTCATGTCAAGTCATCATTTCTTTAACTGATAACATTAGTTCAGAGATATTTTTACAGCTCCTAAATCTTGTTATTGTTTTCATTTCTATGTCCCGCCCTCCACCGTTTCACCAATCAGAAAGTCTCTGATCCAGGTTTCCAGAACTCACCGTGTCGAGCTAATCTCACTGGTAAAGTACCATGTGGCCGCAGAACAAAAAAATGTCTCGTTATGATTCTCAAATCATTAACAACAAAACAAGGAATAAAACCAGGATTTCTATCTTTGTGAAAAAGGTGTTGGTTATAGATTTGTTTTTGACAAAACTCTTGACTATTCAGATGTTACGGTCCCAGCCAGATTCGTCTGCATATCTGGCAACCTGAGTCAGAGGGATCATTTGTTAGGATGTGGTAAATTGAAATAAAGGAAAAAGTAGTGGTTTGGAGAGAGATTCAAGTAGTTATTGTTGATCTTACCGGAGTTGGAGGTTCTTTAAACACAAACAAGTAGCTGTGTCCGAGGCCAATCACGTCTCCAGAGCTGAGCGTGGCGTCCGCACTCAGCCGCTCCCCGTTCAGCAGCACCGTGGCACCGGGACTTGGGCTCAGGACAGTCGGGCCGCCGCTTTGACCTCGCTGAAACTGACAGTGCACCGGGAGGATGTCGGTGGCCCATAGCATGACCTCAGCTCTCAGATCTGTGCTCGGGTCAGACGTTCTCCCCACTCTGACGATCGGGTCGGACAGGAGATAGATGATAAAGTCCTGGAGAACAAAGTATTTAGCGTATTGCAATGACGTGACCGGAGCTGAAGTTGGCTGGATAACAAATGTTTACTTTCTTTTTTTTTTCACGGAACTACAAATTTGTGACAAAGAAAATAATTGGTCAGTACTCACAGATAAAAGGATTTAAGAGGTTCTGAGCTTTACACCGAGGTAAAACATACTTATAATGGGGGAGTTGAAGCTGGAGGAAATTATAAACTTGTGTTTATAATCTTGATGATACTTTGGGTACGCAAGGCAGAGGGCCACATCAAATGACACAGCAGGCCGCAATTGGCCCTCGGGCCTTAGTCTGGACATGCCTGGTCTAAATGTTCAGATGTCATGGAGATGACAGCGGACTGATTTATAGATTCAGTGAGATGCTCATGGTGATTAAAGTAATTTCTTAAATAATTTATTTTGGGTAATAAAATAGTTACTTCCACCCTCACGCAATTACTTTTGGGGAGAAGTAACTATTAATTTTTTTAATGAGAATATGTCCTGACTTTTTTTTGTTCATAAATCTAAAATGCAACAGAATGCACCTGTGGTGATGGGGGGCCCTGTGGTGATGGGGGGCCCTGCACACTGCACCTGTGTTTGGCTGTGTCCCTTCAGCAGCAGCAGGTATGGACAGTCGTGAGGCGGGTGAATGGAGTACTGTGAGCCTCTATCACCACAGCTCTCCGTCTCCTCTTTCTCCTCCAGCTCAGTCCCGGCCCCTTGCTCACACGGGGCCTCTGTTATGGCCGAGCTCCCTGTGCTCTCCTGAATGCACCTCTGTCCTGGAGACGTGTCGGGGCTGTGAGGAGAGCTGCAGAGCGGCATGTTGGTGGAACTCCTGCTCCTCCACAGTGAGCTGCCCGACCTCTGGGAGAGCGAGGAGGCCACACGGGAGCGGCTCTTCTGGAGTTTACGAGCCTGAGCGTTGATACCTGCAAGAAACACATTTGTAGATTTAATAGTCACTTCATTGGGAGTACTTTTATAATCATTATAATGGTAGTGACAGTTTGGGATGCACCGATACCATAGGCTTGTACTCCTACTAGTACTCATATCATGGGACCAGATCCGGGCAATTGATACCCACATTTTTAGTTTACATTAGCATCACAACAGCAGACAGCTGTGCAGCACGTGTTGCCATGGTGATCTCCCAAAGTCAGCGAGAAAGCATTTGCTGCTAGATTAGCGGCAAGTAGCAGCAAGCGGATGTCGTCCGTATGGTAGTTTTTGTAAGTAAAGGAGTGACAAGAGTAAAGCGAACTGTACGTTGCGGCAAAACTGTCACGAGGTGAGTCCAAAACAAACACATATAACACCAGCAACAGGATCAAACATCTGAAAACTTTTATAGCAGCAAAGTATAGCGAGAGTGCTATCCACTCAGCCACCGTGAGGCGCCTCTCAGCAAGAAGGTCCTGGGTTCTAATCCCGGTCGGAACAGGGTCGTTCTGAGTGGAGTTTGCATGTTCTCCCCGTGCCTGCGTAGGTTTCCTCCGGTTTCCCTTACCACTAAAAACTCACTAGGGCTAAATTCCTCCAGCTCTGGTAATCCTGACCAAGCCGAGCATCAACATCTGGAGATGGGTTCTCGGGCGCTGTTCTACGGCGACCACTGCTCCTGACGTAAGCCTTTGCGGCATCAGGATGGGTCAAATGCAGAGGATGAACTGCCCTAGGGGGATTAATAAAGTGCTCCTTTACATTTACCTTTGCTAGCACCGGAGCACTAAAAAAACAACTCTAACGCATTTGTATGGGTGGAATATAAAACTGGTTCTTATTGTTGACCGTTTGTTTCTGCTGTAATTTACTGTTCTGTAACAATGGGTAAAATTGTACAGGTGACGATTCATTCATTCTCTCCTCGCATACGGCCTTTGGAAACCGTCATAATAAACATGTTGTTCTGTCCGTAGTAAAACAGTCTGTGCACACATTGGCACATGCAGATCGAGGGCCAACATCAACACGGGGAAGAGGCAGGAACCAGAGCCCGATGGAAAAACACACTCTCCACATGGAATTCACCCAGAGGTCATCCACGAGTTTCACATGATACCACTCCGTCACACAGCACAAACACGATACCAGCTTCAGGCGCTCAGTGTCAAGGGAACATTTATGTAGAGCAGCCATTACCAAAGTCAGTAACACCGCGGCCCCCTTAAAAATCTGACGAGTCTGCACGGCCCCCTGAAATACTAACCAACAACATTTTATTTGGGGGAAATAGCCTCTGCTACAAACATGTAGATGACACACCCCATTTTGTAACACAAAAATCATTACAATTTGATTATTCAAGTCACCTAATGAACACAAATATGTTGATATTACAAACAAAATGTTATTGATTTAACATACAATAATTATATAAAACTTATCAGTGTCTCCCACTTTGGGAGACACTGATGTAGAGTATTGTTCCAGGCTCAACCAAGGAAACTGCAGCCACTAGGATCAGACCCAGACGTACATGTAGGAAATTATCATGGAGCAGAGTTTACGGGTGCTAAGGCCAGGCTAGTGTCTCCCAGAAGTTTCTCTAATTATTTCCCTACTGAGGTTTTTAAAATAATTTCTTGTTTGTTTATTCACATTTATGAACACTCATGGGCAGTGGTCGTCCTGCTTCTTTGGCTTTGGCCCAATGGCTCCTATGTGTTTGTTATTATTGTAATCCCTGTGTTCCCACTGTTTGATTCTCTGAGCCGTTGTTGGCGTATCAACAACTTTGTTTTGTCCTTTCCGAGAAGAGTTCTGTTGTGACTTAGGGCGATACAAAAATACATTATATCTCCTGTACTGGCGACCTCCCATCTCTGTGTGGAGTGAGAGGACAAAGGCCAACAAATGTAAAGCGCTTTGTGACTCTGGTCTGTGAAAGGCACTACAGTATATGAATAAAGATTACTTACTTACTTACTTCAATTGAATGAGTGCTTCTCAAGATGTGGTCCGTGCATCACACTTAAGGGTCTCTGCCAGTTTGTTAAGTCTAGCCTTGTATCTCGCGGTGATAATCGGGTAATACTATGGTCTGTTTGTTTTAGGGTTTGACTGTTTTAGTGTTCAGCCCGCCTTGTTTTCCTCATGTGAAAAGTGTGAGAAACCTAACACCCTCAAAGCAAATGTTTGAATAAAATGATTTCATGAGCAGTTAGATGAAAGAGTTGGAAAAGAACATTTTGGTTTCACTGCACTGAGCCAGGTTTTGGGAGTTTGGCACAAAATGAATGACAAGCTCATATTTGTAGCAGAAATTTCAATGAGAAAACTACACCCATTGAAATAGAGTCTGGTTTGTGGTTTTGCAAATTGCTCTTTGGAAAGTGGTCAGCGGAAACAGCCTTTTGCTCGGTGAATACTACAGTGAGAGCTGGAAATATATATACTTGTTTTAATATTATTGATCACCTTTAGAGCTAGGCGTTATTTCCTTTCTAGCAGAAGATGGATGAATCATGTGTGGGACAATATATTTCCAGATTGTTATCAAGGTTGTTCGAAAACCAAAACCTCTGTCAACCTCAGACAATATTATCATAAGCTACATTTAGTATGTATTTGTATATGTTTATGTTTGTATTTGTATATATAATTTGGTTACCCTAACCCTTCAAAGTCACGCAGTAGTAGTGTAATACGTTACGATTCATAGACAGTAATATTGTAGTGTAACATTACTTTGAAAGAACAGTAACAAGTAACACGTTCTTAAACTAACTCTCCAAACACTGCAGCTTATGCCCCTTTACAGAAATGACACTTTCAGGTATTTTCACACTGACAACATTTCTAGAGCGTGTGTTCCTCCTCAGAATGACCAATGCGAGTTGGCATGAATGACTTGGCTCAGAGTGAACACCCGCGACCAACCAAAGTGGGAATTTAGAAAGCAAATATGCAATATTATGCTGAATTAAAAACACAACAAAAACTTGTATGGTTTGGTTTGGGCTTTACAACTTTGAATACTCACCTATCAGATTCCTTAATTCACAGGGAAATATGAAATCTAATCATGTCAGACAGATCCGAGTAATAACAATGCATAATGTTTGTTCCGAACAGGATTCAGTGTTGTCTGATTGTGAAGCTCACAATGAAGCGCACAATTTCATAAAAAAAATTATGTTACTGTTTTTATAATCTGTATTTGTATGTAACTGTAACTTTTGTCCAGGACTCCCTTGAAAAAAAAGTTCTCAATCTTAATGGGATATTTGGTTAAATAAAGGTTAAATTAAAAAAAAGTGACCTGCAGTGACCGTGTCTTTCTCTCGGGACGCCCTCTCCTCCACACTGCTGCGTTTCTGGATTTCGAAGCGTCTGGCCAGGCCCTCTCGTGGTTTCCATAACGACTGCAGTAGGAGGGGCTTCTCGTTATCGCCGACCACACGGAAGGCCTCGGTCTGCCAATGGTGCTCGCAGACGGAGCCGATGGTGTCGCAGAGCACGAAGGAGTCCGCCTCCTCTTTGGTCAGGCCGTAGCTATAACACAGATCAGATCAGATAGACTTTATTGATCTCACAGTAGAGACATTTACATGACACATTTGGCATAAATAGAATCACTTAGATTGTGCAAAAGACAGAGGTGTGCAAACATGTTAAAAGTGAAAGATTATGTATAATAAAAGTGACAATAGCAGTGCGAGTTTTTTCCAAAAAAGAAAAAGGTGTAAATTCTCTGCAGCTCTGACCCCACTTCCCCCACGTTCATTTGGACATGTACAAACGCCAACGCATACAACGCCCGAGTCAAACTTGTGAACGCTCATACTGTTGGTTGAGTGACTAAAACTCAGTAGATTAATATAACTGTTGAACTATTATAACTGTTGTTTTTAGATGATGAAATGCCCAGTTGTACTTAGCATTGTTCTAAAACATCACAATTATGGTTTTAAGAGATGTGTTCGGTCGGGGAGGGCATCAGTGCTAGCCTTGCCTGCAAGCTGAATTCTCGTGGTATTTGTGAGTTCACAAACACTCGAGAATACATCTTGCCCCGCTCCCGCCAACCCTTTTTGAGTAGAACATCTAGGTGTTCAAGCCAATCACGCGCCAGTCTGGGGGTTTAGGGCGGGATATCCAGGTTTGACAAAAGCAAGAAGCAGAGGTGTGGACTCGAGTCATGTGACTTGGACTCGAGTCAGACTCGAGTCATGATTTTGATGACTTTAGACTCGACTTGACCAAATATAAAAAGACTTGCAACTCGACTTGGACTTTAACATCAATGACTCTGACTTTCACTTGGACTTGCGCCAATCGACTTGTAAAGACTTGCGTAACCCGGGCCATTTTTACCTTTCTCCGCATCTTTCTTTCTATCTATGCCGTCTCTGAAGAAACAAAGTCTCGCGGTAGTTGTAGCGCTCGCGAGAGAGTTCGAACATGAGTTCCCCGCAGTTCGCTCAGCAACACTTCCCTAAACAAGCGCACTGCATTCACCGGTGGGTGTGTTGTCTAGGGGAGCTGGAAATGAGCGAGCTGCAGGTATTTATCGCGACCTAACGTCATATTTTGTTCTACAAACCGTAATTGATATGCTTTCACTACAGGCGCCTCATACAATTGAATTGACTCAGTTGTCACACTGTGTGCCGTGTTTTAAAGAGAAACTGGTGAGTCAAACTAGCGCTAGCCTGCGCTGCTCTGTTGGCTCTTTCTTATATTTTTCTGTGTGGGCGCCGAGGCCTATTATTATGAGTATGTTTTTGCTGTGCTCCTCCTGCTAAAGTTTGCATACATTAGATAGTTGTTTTGATTATGTGCACTAAGCTAGATTAATATTTGCACTATTGTTTATGGTGCATTGATATGAGAATCAGTGCTTTGACTGATTGAATTAATTTATATGAGACATTTTATTATGTAATGATATATTGGTAATTATGAGATATTGCTAATGCTGGTCCAGTTGATGGCGAGCTGCCCCAGGTCCAAAGCCTAGACCCCTCATACTACCCCTATTCTACAGTAGGACATTTGGAACAATAACCACTACGGACATTAAACTGATTATATAGATACAGGTCCCAGCCCAATACTGAGATTAATTGATTATAATATAAGCATACTATTCATATATGCTGCACTTGCTACTTCCCATTAAAAACCCCAAAGATAAAAAGTATGTTGACACGGACTGCTCTGATTTTATGTGTGGTCTGTGCATGTGTAACTGAGCCTGCATCTGGCACAACATCCAATTAGATCACGTAGATAGTTTTGATTTATCAGCAGACAACGACATGGAACAAACTGTTAGTCCATGGGTCAGAGACCAACGAGAATGCACCAGCAAAATGATTCCTAACATTATTTTGTTTGCCTACAAAAGTACGTGGAGACCAACAAGAAACAAATCGCGGTCAAAAAGACTCGAGAGGACTCGAAAGTCAAACCGTAGGACTTGGGACTGACTTGAGATTTGTTGGCCTTTGACTTGGACTCGACTCGGGACTTGCCTGTCTTGACTCGTGACTTGACTCGGGACTTGAGGGCAATGAATTGAGACTGACTTGTGACTTGCTAAACAATGACTTTGTCCCACCTCTGGCAAGAAGTGCCGGGCCGAAGCAAAACAAACATGGCTACGCAGGAGGACGGACGCGTATCTGAGGCTATCCAGTCAGTTTTAGCAGAATCTCCAATTTCTTTTTTGAAAGATGAACAGCATTTCTGGACGACAAAGATGTTACCGGGATTGGTTTAAGTCAAACCTTGGTAGGCGGGCACACTGTCACTTCGCCCAATCAGCTTGAATTATTCTGCTGCTTATCCCTTCTTTCCCCGAAAGGATTCTCCTGCAGAAGTCCCAGATTGATATTGTGTAGAACGTATTAGAGTTCTACACAATCATCAATCTGGCTCTTGCCAGGTTACATCAGTGCAGGCGCAGGTCTGAAATACACGCACTGCTACTGTAAGATAAAATCCTTCAGCTGAAGAACTTTTTAACCTGGATTTGAACACAATCACAGAAGAAGCCTGTCTCATATTTAGACTGTTAAAGGCCTACATATGTTTAGTCCAGTGGGGGTGGGTCCCGGCCCGAATTAGCCAATGCTAACAGATAGCATCTTCTTACCTCCCGAAAACGTCTTTATAGGATGGTCCAAAAGTTGGCTCTTGGCCCAAAGCTCCGTTCCACATGTGTGTCAATGCTGAGGGGAGTGAATTGTTTTGGACCAGTCTAGTTTACTCGCTGTGAATGTTTGAAGGCACTCGTCAAATGAATGGGGCTCGTGCCGGCTGACGCATGCGCAGATACATTTTTTCACATTTTCCAGCCCACGGAAGTTGTGGCACATTAGTTAGAACGGCGGAGATAGGCGTGACTACGTCCGTTAATATTTATGGTCTATGGTTTAGTCCTGACTCTGTGACCAGCATGAGGCCAGTCCTTGTGCTCCTCAGAGTCCCAGCAGGAGGTCAGTCCCTGTGCTCCTCAGGGTGCTTTCACACCTGTTAGTCCAGTAAAGTTGTTCGCTTGGGCCCTAAAGTTGTTACAATGTTGCAGTTCTCAACTAATTTGGTTCTCATTCACACCAGTGTTTTTGCAAATGAACCAACCACTGTAGATGTTACATATTCCGCCACCCATGTGGTGGCACTGTTTACAAAATACTGTGTATTGGATGACGTATGTGACTGTGAGTGGTGTGTGTGACTTGGGCGGCACGGTGGCTGAGTGGATAGCACTCTCGCCTCTCAGCAAGAAGGTCCTGGGTTCGAATCCCGGTCGGACCAGGGCCTTTCTGAGTGGAGTTTGCATGTTCTCCCCGTGTCTGCGTAGGTTTCCTCCGGGTGCTCCGGTTTCCCCTACCACTAAAAATATGTCCAATAGTTCTGGCATGCGCCTCCTGTACTGGCCCCGCTCCCATCTCTGTGTGGAGTGAGAGACAAATGCCCAAAATTAACAATTGTAAACCGCTTTGAGACTCAGATCTGCAGTGAAAAGGCGGTATATAAATAAAAACTTACTTACTTACTTACTTACTTACTGTGCTACTCTGCGTTTTTTGGCTATTTTTTATCATCGTTGCTTTGTGCAGCACAAATACTGTCGTTCCAGTATGTATCGCAGATTCAGCATGAGAACAATCTGCGGGTGTTTTTGACTATTCTATTATATAAAAAAACAATGTGTGTGTCAAAAAGTGAGCTACGCAACAGAGCAGTCTGATTTCTTTATTACCTCTAAATTTCTGACCGGGTTTGAAGGATTTAGGGAGAGAGATTGTAGGTGATATGGCTCTCTCTTTGTTTCTGGGGACCAAAGACGATCATTTCAAACATATGACCAGTTCATGTTTTTATTGTCCTAGGATTTCCTTCGTACATGTAGCGCTACTGACCTCCTGCTCCGATACAAACGTTTTGCTCGAGAGATGAATGAATAAATGACACTCTAACCCTAAACCAGAGAAGACAGTCCTATACCAGCTCACTTTTACAACACCACGAGTCTGAAGTTAAAGTCTGACTGTAAACTGTAAATAACGTAAATGTCTTTGCGTTACAGCCGGCCCAGTTCAAAGCGTTCCCGGGCCTCCACAGCTGAGTCTGATAAAAAAAAAAAAACGTTGTAACTGTAGAAGATGTGGGTCAGACCCCAAAGTGTGAGAGGCACATGGGGAGGAGATCACGTCCAGCACATTCATCACCTCCAGGTAAAAGCAGCGCCGCTAATCACACACATCTGCTGCCCGTGAAAACTCTGCAACTGTTAGACATGAAGGGTTCTGCTGCGGTCAGAGTCCTGCCATGGTGTGGACCTTTTGGATTATTTAGACCCGGTTTTATTTTACTTTACATGTTCTAGTGCGATTTTGAGTTTGCTTCCTGTCTGTCCTGTTGATTGTTAGCCCCGCCCTGTGATTCACTGATTGTAAAGTGCTTTGTGACTCTGGTCTGAGAAAGGCGCTATATAAATAAATATTACTTACTAAGTGGGGAAAAGGCTCTCGAGGACAAAGAGAAAGTGACGGCATTTTAACAATCAAATAAAGAGAAGCAAAAAGTGACTGATTTGCTGAGATCCAAATGCTTGTTTCACACACAAAGGCTATCACTGCAATTTTACTGGAAACGGTTTTATATCTACCACAGAACGTTGTATGTTTGCACGGCGTGTGTCTCACCGTTCCAGAGCCTCTTTGACCAGCTCCTTGGCGCTGGATTGTGTGGTGGCCAGGACGCTCTTGTAGTGCGCTCCTTGACAGATCTCACTGCCGAAGATCTTCAGAACCCCTGGAGCCGTGACGTGATTGGACAGTTCAGACGGGTCCTCCCCGGTCATGGACATAGAAACATCTGCAACAGAAACATGATATATAATTATAACACCAAAGAAAAACATTATTTATGGTCAATTTGGGGCCTCAAGTTTAAGTAAAAAATACAAACATAAAAGTTGAGAAAGAGTTGACATGTAACTTTAAAGCCACCCTGTGTAATTTTTACAGCTGCTCCATATGAAAAAACATGTTTACTAAAAACAAATGTGACCTTTTTAAGAATATTTACCCCCACCATGTTTTTGTCATTGTTTTCATAGGCTTAGAAATTTAACTTATAAGTGTCCATGAGAAAAACAGTGGTGGTTAAGGGACAAAAAGGATGCGATAATCGTGTTTTCGTTTCACATGAGCTACTGATATGGTTGCTTTCACCGTGCCTTGACAAGTTTGAAGAAGGAACCAAGGAAGACCACAGTTACGTATATAAAAGAACTATATTATAGTGCCGCTTCAGAACGTGGTCTTGTTTACATGTCGCCTCCATGCGACTGTAAAAAGTGCCCGAGACGTTTGGAAAATTTTTTATCGAACTAAAGTATTCTTTCCTTGGCAAAGTCTGGTGAATGACTGAGAGTTGAGGAGCACTGTCAAAGACACATATTTACTATCAAAGGCTTCCGTAGTACCCTGGACTGCAATATAAGATCTCAACACTAGACGGCACTAAAAACTACACACTGTACCTTTAAGATAGGCAGTTCAATTTGAAAGGTAGTTCAAAGCTACCAGAAGCTCCTGATATAAGTATATGTGGATGGAGCTAAAGACAACTCCGAATCAGTTTTTACAGAAGGAACTATGCTGCAACATCTTATAGAAATGTTTGCCCTATACCATGAAATCTGCTTCCCATCCACTTCAAGACGTCTACTTTCTAGACAAGGTTACGTATCTTATTGATTTAGTGTTTGGACTTTTTTGCTATCCACCCTTTCCTGACCAAGGGCCTGCCGACAATCTAAACAAAATCGATAGTTACTCGCTCATGCTGCACATAGACACACATAACTGGGTGAAGTATGGTAACTTGAGCATCATAAAGTATGACTTCAGATGTAGTCTCTTCATTGCTATTAACCCATTGTTGTTTGTCTGTCCTTGCTCCCGGTCTCAGATCCCGCTCCAGCAGCAAAGAAAAACACAAGAACCCAGAGGTAGAAACTGTGGACAGTGATGATCCAGGACAATTGTGGACATTAGGATCCCTATGGATCAATGACTATTGTTATTGCATTTATGTCTGGTTTTCTAATCTGCTGTTGACAAAGGGACCATTTCTGTGATTTTGGGAAATATAAAAATAAATTGAATCCCAATGTCCAACTTACAACAGTTCAATGTTTTGGGCTTGTTTTTTAATAGTTTGGGAATGTTTCTTTTGTGACATCATTAACTGCAACCAGGAAGCAAAGGAAAGGCCAAACTGAGAAAAACTATCATCCACATTTTAAGAGTTCTCGTGCAGCTGCCAAACCACACTTGCCATTAAACCAGCACGTCCTCTTTTTATTGGGGATTTCAGCCCCAGAGTGAAGCGATTTATTCTCTTAATATTGAGAGAACTTACCATATACAGCAACATATAACTTTGTGTTTATTCAGTGTGAAGCATCAGGAGTCATGAGGCATTTGAGGCTCTGTGTGGTTACAGAACATATTTACAGGAGAAACTAGTCACTGTATAGACGTTTACATTGGCTCAAAAGCAACGCCCATATTTGCCTTCTTAAAGACACATTTCATCCGAGTTTTATCCAAATGAGTTAAAAATATATTGACTTAGCTTGAATGTGACCTGAAAATGTGTGGTATTTAACAACATCTAAAAGCAAGGGTATACCACTTTCTGGATTGATATACATTCTCAGTGTTTTGTAAAAGAGATAAAAGTCATTCTGAAAGTGTTACAGCTATAATATGAAAACAGTTCTGGACTAATAATTTAATATAAAGTAAATTTTGTCCACATTTACAGTAGGCCCCATTTGAATACATTTCTGCTTGTTGTAATGTAACACTTAACAAGCAGCTGAAAAATAAAGCCAAAAGACGATTGTTTTAACTCCCAAAATTCTGAGACTAACCATCATTTTGACTTCTCCCATTCAAACTCATGGAATCCTGAGATATTCCCTCATTTGTATATACTGTATATATATATTTATATATACATCGGAATACTCTTCATATTCTACCACTCAGCCACTGCGTTTGGGCGACATGGTGGCTGAGTGGTTAGCGCTCTTGGTTCTCTGCAAGAAGGTCGTGGGTTTGAATCCCGGTCGGAACAGGGTCTTTCTGAGTGGAGTTTGCATGTTCTCCTCGCTTCCGTGTGTGTGGAGAGAATGGAACGAACTCTGAACATTGTAAAGCTTTAGGCAACCTTGGTCTGTAAAAATGCGCTATATAAATAAAGTACTTACTCTCTAATATTTTATGTTCATGGTGAGGGGGCCGGATGAGCCTGATCCTCACGATTCTGCTCAGAATACGAGTCTGAAACTGATCCATTGGGCTGTGATTATGGGACATTTCAACCGAACCAGGAAAAACGTTGCCTCCTTGTTCTATTGGAGGACAGTCAAACAACCACCCACCACCAATGTTTTCCGATGGCTAAGGCCAGGCAAAAAAGATCCCTCTCCCCCTAAAATCAAACTCACTGCTGGCCTTCCTGCTGGGGTTGGACAGAGACACTCTGAGGCCTGATGCCATGGACACTGGTCTAGACATCGGTCTGGACCCCGAGCCGGACACAGAGCTGGACGCCGGGCCAGACGTAGGGATGCGCCGGAAGACTCTGGAGAAGCGCTGGTTCTGGATACGGCTCTTGCAGGGCTGCCTGGTGACCGCGTTCTCTGTCGATGGCTCAGACCTACGTGACAAGAGCTGTGAGTGTGGTTAGGATACAGCACCAGATACTAACGTATAATGGAAACAGCAGGTAAAGAGTAGAGAAGAGTAGAGTAGAACAGAGTAGACTAGACTAGAGTAGAGTAGAGCAGAGCAGAGGAGAGTAAAGTAGATTTGAACAGAGTAGAGTAGAGTAGAGTAGGGTAGAGTAGAGTAGAGTAGAGTAGAGTAGAGTAGAGTAGAGTAGAACAGAGTAGCACAGAGTAAAAAAATAAATAACAAATTCTAAACCGCTTTGTGACTCTGGTCTGTGAAAGGCGGTATATAAATAGATTACTTACTTACTTCACTTAGAGTCGATTTGAACAGAGTAGAGTAGAGTAGAGTAAAGTAGAATAGAGCAGAGCAGAAAAGAGTAGAGTAGAGTAGAGTAGAGTAGAATAGAGTAGAGTAGAATAGAGCAGAGCAGAAAAGAGTAGAGTAGAGTAGAGTACAGTAGAGAAGAGTAGAGAAGAGTAGAGCAGAAAAGAGAAGAGTAGAGTAGGGTAGGGTAGGGTAGAGTACAGTAAAGTAGATTTGAACAGAGTATGAATAGAGTAGAGTACTGTTGAGAATAGCTGAGTAGAATAGAGAAGAATAGAGCAGAATAGAGTAAGGCTGCGTAGAGCAGAGTAAAGTAGAGCAAAAATAGTTGTAAGTGAAGTTAAAACTGTTGAATTAACTTAAAATAGAACCACAGAAAGTAACACTTATTATCACTGCGACTTCAACATTGTACTTAGTGTCATGGCCCAGTGAGTACAATCCAAACTTTTTCACTCTACAATTAATATTTTAAACATAATTTCTTAAAAATGGAATTCTAAATCAGTTCTTTGTAGTACTTACGAGAGCCTTCTCAGTCAGCAGTTATTATGTCCCAAACTGAAGTGATGGAGTTTGGTTTGCTTCAGAAAAATCCTACAAAAACTGATTATAGTTTAAGGGTCTTTTGTCCTGATGCCAACTCTGTCAAAGCTTATTTTCCAACATCTATAATGTTTGGAAATGTAATCCAGATATTGTTATAGATCCATGGTTACAACTCGAAAAGGCATAATTTTTGTCATTTGCAACTATTTTTGTTATTACTTTTTTCTGCAATATATAAATGGATATACCAGTTTCATAGTTCATATCTTATTTTTCTGCCATTTTTCCATCCAGGCGCTGGTCATTTTCCCAAAGTCAAAACACCATCAGTTACCCTGAATGTGGAAGAGGCTAATTTCTTGAGCAACGTTAGCTTCTCGCCATAACAGGGGCAGGCCAGTGGGGGCGGGTCCCGGCTCCAAAAGGTCCATGAGCACGTGCACTGATATGCTGCAATCCCACTCCGGGCCGGTGGGGGTGTACCCAGAAACAGAATTACCCAATGCTTTGGTATGGCGTCTTCTTTCCTCTCCAAAACGGATTTACAAGATGGTCCAAAAGTGGTTCTTGGCCCAATGCTACGTTCCACATGTGTGTCAATGCTGAGGGGAGTATTTTTTGTTTTGGACCAGTCTAGTTTTGCCGAATAAATGAATTGAGCTAGCTTTTCGCATTTTCCTGCCATGTGGCCATTTTGAAATATCACATAGAAGGCACATTGGTTTCAATGGCAGAGATACGTGTGACTACGCCCGTTATTATTTACAGTCTATGGGTCAGACTTGTTGTTAAGGGCAACAACAATGCCCAACTACAGATCAGAGAATCAAACAGTTTGATCACCGGAATGCTATAAGTAAAAAAAAAAAATTACATATCAGAGCCATTGGTCCATAGAGAGGGGCTAAGCAGGGACGTCCAGACTTCCCCCTCCACACATCCGAGGAAATCCTGAGGTGTTCCAGGACAGCTGAGAGATACAGTCCCTCCAACATGTCCTGGGTCTTCCCTGGGGTCTGCTCTCAGTGAGACTTTCCTGGAACTCCTCCCCAGATGTGACAGTGTTATTATTTATTCCTAAAGAAATGCAACGATAGTGATATCCATGAAAACTCAGTGAGAACCAAACTGTTGAGAGCGAGGAACTAGTTTGGTTCAATAAAAAAATAGTTTAATTGTGTGGTTTGAAAGTTACACAAACGAGCTTTAAATGATTAATCACAACTTTGTTATTGTATCAAAAGTAAGATTGCAATGTTAGTATTGTGTCTATTTTCATTATAACTCAATTCATTTTTTAATAGCCCTAAATCACAAGACTTTACAATATTGTCGATTTGCCAACACAGATCAGAGAATCACCCACATAGGAGCCATAGGTCTATAGAGGGCGAATGACCATTGTCCATAAATATTATAAAATGTCCATGAAGTAACAACATTATCAAAATTAGAGGAAATTGATTTGGCTCTCGGTGCAAAAACAAGTTAAAAGTAGAGGAAGAATAAGTCATAATAAAAGTATAAAATGTTCTAAAATATAAAAAATTAAAAAGATATATGTAGATAGATAGATAGATGGATCACAATTAAGATAATCCTTTGTGCGTCTCTCACTGAGGAAATCTCTGTCACTGTTGCACACATTACATGAGAATAAAAGGAGAAATAATCGGATCTATTTTTTCCTGTTTGATTTGAACCAATTCTAAAACATACTCACTGCTGAGACCCATCACTTTTCCTCGTGTCCAGTTTTCCAAAGCACCTCTTCTCTGCTCTGTGTGGAGGCTGAAGGCTGGACAGCAAGCTCATCCCTGCTCAAAGGTCCTCTTCAAACTGCTGCTGTTTTACTGTAGTCATGTCCCCTGTAGCTCTATTACCCCAGGCATGTTTGGGACACGCTACTGCTGCTGCTGCTGCTGCTGCTGCTGCTGTCTGATCATCCTCTCCCTTTCTCCGGAACACACTGCAGATGTTTCCACTTCTCCAGCTGTTGCAACCGATAGAGCTGAGTGACGCACGGGATCGGGTGGCTGTGGAAAAGAGATGAACTGATAAGTTTAAAAAAAAGCTGGTGAAGTTTTTACCAGTTTGAGCTGAAAGGGAAAGTGTAGGGTTACAAACTTAGTCCAGGCGGTGGCCAGATGTGCGTCTGCAGAGGAGATGCCGAGTGTGGGTGATCCCGCCTATCCTCTGCTGCTGAGGTCACATTCAAAACATTCTGGTTATAGTAATGTGTGCAGACGGTTCAAATCAGATGAATGTATGAAGCAGCAAAAAAAAAAAAAAAACGCAACCTCAGATAATACAGACAGTGTTTCCCAGCCCAAATTCTGAATGGAATTCTACATGCTGCTGTTTCATCCAATCAGGGCCAGTCTCAGCCAATCACACAGCTCTGCCAGCCTCAGCCAATCACAAGCTCTGCCAGCCTCTTCTCCCTCAGCCAATCACAGAGCTCTGCCAGCCTCTCCTCCCTCAGCCAATCACAGAGCTCTGCCAGCCTCTCCTCCCACAGCCACGCGCTCTCTGAATGGTCGGTCGAAATTCAACCGATTGTAATCGCTAACACAGGGACCAGACCCAGACGTTACATGCAGTGAAATGTTGATTGAACGGAGTGTACGGATGGCTAAGGCCAGGCTAGCATAGCCCTAAATCGCAACAGTAGTCGTTTGGTAGTAGTCCATCTTGCCACTCTTAAAGATCCATATTTCGCTTCATCCTGAGCATGTGTAATAATAATTTTGGGTCATACACCGTACAACACTTGAAACATATGTAATTATAGTCACACACACATTTTCTTATCATCATCTGTCATGTTGCTTTCATTTCATGTCTGTTACTTTGTAGTGGGCCTTCAGGAAATAATACACACACACACATCAAAATATACATACATTCAAGCTGTAATGCTCTGTACACTGCAAAAAGTGATGAAATTTGGCAAATTCTGACTGAGCCTTAAACCAATAATCTTCATAGGGACAAAGCAAAATGATCTTGTTTTGAAAAGATACAACAAATGTCTCACTTGGAATGAGAAAATAAGGCAACAGTTCTTGAAAAAAGACTAAATGGCTTTGGTCCGTTGGCAAATCTTGTTTTAACACAATCAGAATGTATAAAAACCACTCGATTCAAGCAATTATTACCTCATATTTTTTCATTTGTTGCAGTGTATAAGAACATTTTCACACTGGGATTACTGCTTCTATACCCAAAAAGAAGAAAAAAGGTTAAGTTTCCTTCATGACCATTCACCAAAAAAGCACCACACCCTTGTCTTGGCATGTCCCGGGGCCGGGAAAGTTTCATTCTGATTTCCAGCAGTGTGGGCGTGCGTCAAAACGGCATCCAAAATAGTCCAGCCTTAATGAAGCGATGGAACCTATTTTTGCTTTTATAACAACCCAGTCACATGTGGTTATCAGACATGCAGGACCTTCATATCTAAACTGTTTAACTTCATCACATCTGCGCACACATATTCCAAAGTCAGATCATTACTAAAGCGCAAAGAAGACAGATATTTAATGAGATTGGGGTTTTGCTGAACACTACAGGAGTTTGGGTTCATTTTTCTCCCACAATTTTGGGTTCGATGTCAGAGCTGTCATCGTCCAGCTGGCTCAGAAAAATTCCTCTTTTTTTTCTCCCCCTGAACATGCCAGACAAAAAGGCGAGGGATGCGGTGAAGACACAGAGCGAGCGGATAATAATGGAGTCCTGCAGCTGTTTCCCAAAGTGGACAAACTCATTTCTGCTTTTTTTGCCGGGTTTTGTAACAGCGAATTGAATTGAGGAGATGTTTGTGGTGGTGAGGCTATTGTCAAAGAGTTTCAAAGAGTTTTCATTTATTTTTATAAAGTATGAGTGGTTCGAGAAATGATGGACGTTGATTGGAAAAAAGTATTAATTGAGAACAGAGGACTTTCAGATAATCAAACAGTTGGACCTGCAGGTGAAAGCAGATATCATTAGACCTCTGAAGCTGTGCAGGGCAGGGCCTGGTTAGTTCTGTGATGCTGTTTGCAAACTGTGTTCAGTTTGGTTGATATGATACTAACATTTTCAATTTGATTGTATTCTCCACAGGAAGTCAGTGGAGTGATTTTAACACTGGAGTTATGTGTTCCCTCCTTTTGGTGCCTGTTAACTCATTGACTGCCAGCCACTGATTCTCAAGACCCATAGAATATTATTTCCTAAGACTTTGTGAAATGTGAAACAGATTCTGAAAGACTGGATTATCTACTTCTATCAGCAAAAATAAGTTTGTTTTTAGCTATTTTTATTGTCCTGTAATCCCCAGTCAAAAAGAGGGTCTCAGACAAATACGTCAATGGCAGTCAATGAGTTAAGATCCTTGCAGTATTTTGGATGCATGAGATGGAAGCTTTTTATGGAGGATTTAGGGCACGATGCCAGCAGGGATTAGCTTTCCTGCATCACTTTCAGGAAGAATGATCCTGATTTTAGCAACGTGGCACCGGTGGAAATATGACTAAACACTGCGAGCTGCGTTGTCACATAATTTATTGCCATATTTTTAGATAGATTTTTTCTTCACATCTTCATATTTCTTCACATAAACGCTGATTCAAATGCAAACCACAAACACCAAACTCCTTTCCCATGTTTACTCCTGCGGCTGCTTGATGCTTTCTCTTCCATTGTGGCCTAAGTGACTTTGTGGTCATTTTAGACAAAAGTGGCTCGTCACAAATCTTCTTTCTATCAATGTGGCCGCTTTTTGTTTTGTTTAAACTTGTCAACAACATGCAAACATCTGATTATCTATGTGGACAAGAAACGGAAATTCTCTCTCTCTACCCTTATAATTATGTCTTCAAGCTGGGGATTTAATATATTATTATATTATTGTCCCAAAAGAATTTGACAGCGACATGGTGTTTTTAACTTAATAGCAAACATGTAATTTCGTAAGTCCTCCTATATACCTTCAAGACATACAACCTTGTTTACATCTTCATCTCGGAGTGGAGCTTTCATATCTGCACACAGCAGTACCTCTTTATATCGTTTCATCATGACATTTTTAAAACAAAACTGTCCCCAACAGGCCAAAGAAAGCGTTTGTTGTTGCTGTTGTGTGAGCGTCAAATCGAGGGTTCACCAGTAAAACACAAATAGAAAGGGGCCAGCTCAGGATCCTCACTGGGCTCTAAAGAAGCTGCAGTACGTCCAAAATCCAGCAGCTTGAGGTCTGACTTGAACCAGGAAGTAGAACCACATTAGTCCAGTTCTCAGGCCTCTGCACTGGCTCCTGTGACTCAGAGAATAGACTTTGAAGCAGTTCTGCTTGTTACGAGTCTTGCGATGGTCTTACTCCTAAGTACAACTTGGACATGTTAGTCCCATATGAACCTACTCGGACAAACAACACAGGGACTAGTGTTGAAAAATCTTAAAAGCATTGCATATATACATTTGTAAATAGTACCATAAACGATCTGGATAAAGTCATGATTTTTGTGCAGACAAACTCCTCAAAAGTTTCATTTGTCCGTTATCCTTCTGATTAAAGCCTACATTAAGAGTAGCAGACGTTGCTGTACACCATTGTTCTCTATTGATGTGAAAACTCCTGCTTCATGACATATCACTGATGTCTGTCGCTCCCTCTCTGCAGCTATTGTACCCGCTGCTGCCAGGTCTTCTGGACTGTAACCCGTTCAGGGGGAGTGCGGACCCCGCCGAGCCTGCAGACACCTCATCTTACCAGAACACGCCTGCCCTCCAGGCCCCGGAGGAGGTCCAGATAGTGGTGGAGGTCCTCAGCAGAACCTGGGCCCTGCTCACAGAGAGCCAGCTGCACCCGGATATCAGGGCCCAGCTCGTGGGGTATCTGTTCTACTTCATCAACGCATCACTGTTCAACTCGCTCATGGAGAGAGGTACGGGACGACGCCAATCAGAGTTGATCATTACCATTGTCCTAGGAAGGACTTCAAATTGTAATTAGAAAGATAAACAATCTGCTGGGATGGCGGTTTCTGCTCTTTTTATGTGTTCTATTACACTTGTTTGCTCTGAAGATGTCAGAAGTTTCCAGAACTGTCATCTTCAGAGCTCTTCTTCCATTGTTAGGCACATCCCTCATTACTTACAAAAGTGAGTAAGTAAGGCTGTTACAACTTTCTGAACGTGACAAACGTATCTTCTGAACGACTCCTGGGCTGTAGAGCCTGTTGAATTATGTTTCACTGTTGCAACTCATGTTGCATTTGGAGGACAAGAGCGAACAATAGAGATGAGCCATCGTTAGCCTTTCTTGGCATATTTTTTCTTCCACTGTAGACACATTAGTCTCACGGTCACACAGCTTCAGCTTCTCAGGTCAAAACCACTAGAATGAATGTATACTTTAATTCGAGCCATGTCAGACAAGAACAAGAAACAGCAACAAAACAACTGAATAGAAAAAAAACAATAAAACAAATAAACAATAAGTCCATATACCAGGGGTCACCAACCTTTTTGATACCAAGAGCTACTTCACGGGTACTGATTAATGTGAAGGGCTACCAGTTTGTTACACACTTACATACATTGCCAGAAACAGCCAAATTGCTCAATTTACCTTTAACTCTATGTTAACATTAATAATTAATGATATTTGTCTTTGTGGAAAAACTGATCATCTTAATATTTTCTCACAATAAATATATATAGAAACAGATAAATATCAACTCAACTCTTACTCAACTCATAGTCAACTCTCAAATTTTTCAATAAATCATGTCACACATGTGATGGCGATCTCACAGGAGTTTAGAAACCAAAGCGGTCCCATTTACTGTACGCTGCTCCTTTCTCCTCTTGAGAACAAAAGCAAAGCTGTTTGAGATCATTACATGTGTTTCTACTGTAGGTTCATGTGACAGTTCTATGGACTCTTCGTTTCAACTCATTTAACTGTGATGTTGTGAATAAAGACACAGTTCTTATTGGAAACATAGTTATTATTAAAGTGTATTCAGCACAAACAGCAAAACAATAAGTGGTATTTATCTGAGACACACACCAACTATTTACAAGTGCAGGAGGAATGCAACAGACGCGATAAGCTACGATTGTAGATTCAAACACAGACAGGAACAGTGCAAAAGAAACGACTGCACAGTTTATAAGTTTATAAATATGTTAGATATGCAACAGAATTCTAGTCCACAGTCTCCGCGTATATCAGCTCTGAGCCACGAGCCCAAACTGCTTTTCCTTCGGTTCCTTCGAAGCACGAAGCAGTCTGCTCCGAAGTGCCTCGTCCATGCTCCCTGCAGCCGCTCCATGCTTCTGTCCAAAACACACACACGGACCAATCACAGCGGAGCTTCTCTCACACACGGACCAGTCACAGCGGAGCTTCTCTCACACACGGACCAGTCACAGCGGAGCTTCTCTCACACACGGACCAGTCACAGCGGAGCTTGTCTGCGGCGGTGGCCGCGTATATTCGAGGGTGCGTGGCAGGCTACGTAAGGGCGTTGCGGTGATCCACGCGTTGCGCAAGTGACGTCACGTCACCACCTTAAGCTCCGCGCGACTATACACTAGGCTTGAGTGCTTCTATTTGAGCTATTTTTAGAACAGGCCAGTGGGCGACTCATCTGGTCCTTACGGGCGACCTGGTGCCCGCGGGCACCGCGTTGGTGACCCCTGCCATATACAATATGTTTTGTTTTATCAACAAAAAGTCAGCTCGAAAAGGACTAGCTCACTAGAACAAACATAATGACCAGATGCAGCTCTGATCCCTGCAACATGGCGCCTCCTTGTGGCACAACAATAGGATACACAATACTGAACAGTACAATATTACATTACAGTGCCTTGCGACAGTATTTGGCCCCCTTGAACCTTTCAACATTTCGCCACATTTCAGGCTTCAAAATAATATAATTATTAATTTAAACTTTTTTAACAAATAAAAAACTGAAAAGTGGGGCGTGCAATATTATTTGGCCCCCTTGCTTTGTGCTTCGAAGGAAAAGCAGTTTGGGCTCAGAGCCAGTGACTGTGGACGATCTAACATATATATAACTTATAAACTGTGCAGTCGTTTGTTTTGCACTGTTCCTGTCTTTGTTTGAATCGTAGCTGCGTTTGTTGCTTTCCTCCTGCACTCGTAAATCGTTGATGTTTGTCTCAGATATTTACCACTATTATTGTATTGCTGTTTGTGCTGAAAACTACTTAATAATAACTATGTTTCCAACAAGAACTGTGTCTTTATTCACAGAATCACAGTTGAAATGACTTATAAAATAATGAATCCATAAAACTATCACACAAACCTGCAGTAGAAACACGTGTAATGAACTCAAACAGCTTTGTTTGCTATTGTTGTTCTGAAGAGGAGAAAGCAGCAGCGTAAATGGGACCGCTCCTGTGTGATCGCCCTCATGTGGTTTGTTGTGGGATTACAACATTCTCCTCAAAACTCCGTAAGGGGAACGCGCCAGTATAACATCAATTGTGCTTACGTAGGTCCACCGCAACCGCTAACGTAAGCCAAGCCGCGCAAGTATACTCTAGGCTTAACACCTGGACACGTCTATTTGTGAACCATTCCATTGCAGATTTGGCTTTATGTTTTGGATCATTGTCCTGTTGGAAGATAAATCTCCGTCCCAGTCTCAGGTCTTTTGCAGACTCCAACAGGTTTTCTTCCTGAATGGTCCTGTATTTGGCTCCATCCATCTTCCCATCAATTTTAGCCATCTTCCCTGTCCCTGCTGAAGAAAAGCAGGCCCAAAGCATGATGCTGCCACCACCATGTTTGACAGTGGGGATGGTGTGTTCAGGGTGATGAGCTGTGTTGCTTTTACGCCAAACATATCGTTTTGCATTGTGGCCAAAAAGTTCGATTTTGGTTTCATCTGACCAGAGCACCTTTTTCCACATGTTTGGTGTGTCTCCCAGGTGGCTTGTGGCAAACTTTAAACAAGACTTTTTATGGATATCTTTGAGAAATGGCTTTCTTCTTGCCACTCTTCCATAAAGGCCAGATTTGTGCAGTGCACGACTGATTGTTGTCCTATGGACAGACTCTCCCACCTCCGCTGTAGTTATCTGCAGTTCATCCAGAGTGATCATGGGCCTCTTGGCTGCATCTCTGATCAGTCTTCTCCTTGTTTGAGACGAAAGTTTGGAGGGACGGCCGGGTCTTGGTAGATTTGCAGTGGTCTGATACTCCTTCCATTTCAATATAATTGCTTGCACAGTGCTCCTTGAGATGTTTAAAGCTTGGGAAATCTTTTTGTATCCTTTAAACTTCTCCACAACAGTATCTCGGACCTGCCTGGTGTGTTCCTTTGTCTTCATGGTTCTCTCTGCGCTTTAAACAGAACCCTGAGACTATCAAAGAGCAGGTGCATTTATACGGAGACTTGATTTACACACAGGTGCATTCTAATTATCATCATCAGTCATTTAGGACAACATTGGATCATTCAAAGATCCTCACTGAACTTCTGGAGTGAGTTTGCTGCACTGGAAGTAAAGGGGCCGAGTAATATTGCACGCCCCACTTTTCAGTTTTTTATTTGTTAAAAAAGTTTAAATTATCCAATAAATTTCGTTCCACTTCACGATTGTGTCCCACTTGTTGTTGATTCATGACAAAAAATTAAAATGTTATATCATTATGTTTGAAGTTTGTGTTTATGTTTGTTGAAAGGTTATACTAAATACTTTCGCAAGGCACTGTATTTACAACTGAGGACATAAATGAACATATCTATAACACATACAACCATCATATCTCAGTCAGCGTTAAAAGCTGAAACAATATTTGCTTTTAAAGTTGATTTAAAGACTCTGTCTGTTGTCCTTTGGCAGCTGGTTCCACAGCCGTGGAGCAGCCCAGGAAAAGGTGCAGCTAATCTCAGAATCAGAATCAGAATCAGAATCATTTTTATTGCCACGTAAGTAACAGGAGGTCACAGACTTGGAAATTGCTTTGGCTCAGTGCAACAGTCAAAAAGAGATAATAAAAATAATTTATCTACTGAACTCAGACTGCCAGATGACAATCAGATGTAATTAGAGTGGATATAATTGTAAATACTTATTGTAAATAAGTTTAATTCATGTTTGTCATGTTTATACATTCTATCTACACATTCTAAACATTCCACATTCAAATTTATCTTTCTAAAACATGACATATCAAAGTAAAGATTCTCAAGATCATGATTAGGGGTCATCAATAATAATTGAAGTTTCACTTATTTGTGACGGCAGGCTCTGAAGTGGGATTCTACCAGTGGTCCAGAGGGGTGCAAATGAGGGCCAGCCTGGATCTGCTGCTGGACTGGGCCCAGGACAAAGGTCTGGGAGAACTGGCCTCGGAGCAGACGCTGAAGCTGACCTGTGCCCTCAACCTGCTGGCCACGCCCCGCAAGACCCTGCTCAAGGTGAGGGCCACATTTTAGTATCGGGGGAAAGGACCAAGCACTCTTTTGCATGTTTGCCTTTTGTACAATGATATAGGTGTCTGCTTCACCCTTCCCCACGTACAGTACATATATAGATAGATAGTTACTTTATTGATCCCCGTAGGAAAATTTCAGGTGTCCAGTAGCAGCAAAAATAAAAAATATAATTGATCATTCTAAAAAGCTAACAATAGCAATAATAAGCAACAGCCCTTCAGGTCACAGCAGCAGAGGTGGAGTAGCCTCTGGGTGGAGCAGGACAGGTCACAAGATGGAGCCGCCGCTTGGTTCGGACCATTGTCTCTGCTCTAGTCCAAAGTAAAATGCTAAATGCTTCATTAGCATTTTTCAAAAAGTTAGCATTCCTCCTGTGGATTTTCACCTGATCCACTTGGACCATGAATCCTCTCGGCTCTGGTCTGGACCAGTGCAAAACCATGAACACAGTACTGCAGCAACATCTCAGGTAGAAAAAAAGCAAGAAAAATAGCAGTTGTAAAACACAAAACAACAACTATTACAGAGACACTTAGGATTTGCAGCCGTTTCCAGAGCATTCTAAAGTACATGCATATATTTGAGCCTCTCTACTGTTCTCTGATGTGTTTGTTGTTCCTGCAGTCCTTTTGGGGGTCCCTGCGCTCCCTCTACCCTGCGCTGCACCCCGCCCAGCTGCACCACCTGCTGAGCCTCTACCGAACCCCCTCTCACCTCGTGCCCCCCCACCGCAGTGCATGGAGCCCCTGTGAGTCGGACCAAGCAGCAGCTCTGCACACCTGTAAGAGAGACATCATAAGCATCATGCTTTTAATTCTCTTTTTTTTTAACAAACATAAAAACTTGGGCTGTCAAAATGTGTTTGTGATTCTGGACACAGTGCAGCAGGAGGGAGCTTCAGCGACAGACTGATACACCCTCGCTGTGTGTAGGAGAGGTCGCAATGGTCTTTCCTCCCTGCCTGTCAGACTGTATAACAAACAATGAGGACTAACAAACATGGCCGACCTGACCTCACATGTCGTGCGTCTGTGTAATGATAATTTGAATAATAACGCAATTCAACATGTGACAAGAAGCCTTTTTTTCACCAAATTATGGGGGGGGGGGGGGGGGGGGGGGGGCGCTTTTGATTCTTTCAAAATATGGATCATACTTTGAGGACATTCTTGTTTTATTGAATATGGATTGAACCACTTCTTTGCCTCCTCCTCCTCCCTCCAGCTCCTGGTGCATCCTGCCCACCTGGTCACCTGGTCACCATGAGGAGCAGAACACTGACACACTCCCACACTTTCCAAACCACACTTAAAACACATTTATTCAGACTGGCCTATTCTCTATGACACTACATTTATTATTTGCATTTATTTTTTTGATCAGGGACAATCACAACTGAAGGGCGACAGTAGCTCAGTTGGTAGAGCATTGGCCTTTGAGCCTGAAGGTCGTGGGTTCGAGCCCACAGTAAGACCTACTTCACGACTCCCACTGATGACTGCTGTCGTTGTGTCCTTGGGCAAGACACTTAACCCTACTTTGCCCAAAGCCCCAACTGAAAGATCTCAGCTCCTGTGGACTCACCACCTGCAGGAGGATCAGTGAGGGGCTGGTGCTCTGTGACTGGGTGCAGCTCTGACTGCCACCCCCCTGACCCAGAAATGGATTAAGGGGAAGAAAATGGATGGATGGACAATCACAACTGACATTATTCTAAGACAGAAGAGATGCCATGTGCGGTTAAAGCATGAGACGCTAATTTCCACCCTTAGTTCCTGGACAGGATCATGTTATTCAGAATCAGAATCAGAATAATTTTTATTGCCACGTAAGTAACAGGAGGTCACAGACTAGGAAATTGCTTTGGCTCAGTGCAACAGTCAAAAAGAGATAATAAAAATAAGAATAAAAAAACACTTCTAAAGAATAAATTTAAATTTAAAATAGAGTTACAGTTACTATTTACAATATACAAGTGCACATGGTGCACACAATGTAAGGTGACAGCAGTACAGTGAAGTAAAGTGACGTATGATGGGCAGTAAAGTGACTTTATAAAGGGCGGGGGGACAGGTTAAGAAGTGTTCAAGAGTCCAACAGCAGCGGGGAAGAAACTGTTCTTGTGGCGGGAGGTTCTAGTCCTGATGGACCGCAGCCTCCTGCCTGAGGGGAGTGGATGGAATAGTCCATGTGCAGGGTGAGAGGGGTCAGCTGTGATACGACCAGCCCGGCCTCGAGCTCGGGCGACGTACAGGTCCTGCAGCGATGGAAGGCTGCGGCCGATCACTTCCTCTGCAGAGCGCACAATGCGCTGTAGTCTCTGTTTGTCCCTGACTGTGGCTCCAGCAAACCACACGGTGACGGAGGAGGTGAGGATGGACTCGATGATGGCCGTGTAGAACTGCACCAACATCTGTGCAGGCAGCTTGGCTTTCCTGAGCTGCCGCAGGAAGTACATCCTCTGCTGGGCCTTCTTGATGAGGGAGCTGATGGTCGGCTCCCACTTGAGGTCCTGGGTGATGGTGGTGCCCAGGAAACGATAGGACTCCACAGAGGTGATGGGGAGTCCATCACGGAGGGTGGGGGCGGGGGGACAGTGCTCTTCCTGAAGTCCACAATCATCTCCACTGTCTTCTGGGCGTTCAGCTCCAGGTTGTTACCACTGCACCAGGACACCAGCCGGTCCACCTCCCTCCTGTAGGCGGACTCATCGTTGTTGGAGATGAGTCCAATGAGGGTGGTGTCGTCCGCGAACTTGATCAGCTTCACAGAGTCGTGGCTGGAGGTGCAGTGGTTGGTGTACAGGGAGAAGAGCAGGGGAGAAAGAACACAGCCTTGTGGGGCTCCTGTATTTATAATCCGAGAGTTCCTCCTTCCCCAGACGCACTCGCTGCTTCCTGTCCGTCAGGAAGTCAGTGATCCACCTGCAGGTGGAATCGGGCACGTTGAGCTGGGAGAGCTTGTCCTGGAGCAGGGATGGCAGGATTGTGTTGAAGGCAGAGCTGAAGTCCACGAACAGGACCCTGGCGTAGGTCCCCGGGGAGTCCAGGTGCTGTAGGATGTGGTGGAGGGTCAGGTTAATGGCGTCGTCTACAGATCTGTTGGCTCTGTAGGCGAACTGCAGGGCGTCCAGGAGGGGGGAGGTGAGGGACTTGAGATGGGAGAGGACCAGGCGTTCAAATGACTTCATGACGACAGACGTAAGTGCTACAGGTCTGTAGTCATTGAGTCCTGTGATCCTGGGCTTCTTCGGGACGGGGACAATGATGGAGGATTTGAAGCAGGCCGGGACGTGGCAGGACTGCAGAGAGGAGTTGAAAATGTCCGTGAACACAGGAGTAAGCTCACTGGCGCAGTGTCTCAGAGTGGCCGGAGACACGTGGTCCGGGCCGGGGGGGGGGGGAGAGGTGTCAGGGGCAGCATCAAAGCGACTGAAAAATAAGTTCAGTTCGTCAGCTAGCTTGTGGTCGTCAGCACAGGGGGGGGCTTTGGGTTTGTAGTTGGTGATCTCCCGTAGGCCCCTCCAGACAGAAGCAGTATCGTTGTTACCAAACTGCTCCTGTAGTCGTTCTCTGTGCCGAGACTTGGCTGCTTTCAGTTCTTTCCTGAACTGATATTTAGCTGCTTTGTAGCCGCTGCGGTCCCCCTCCCTGAAAGCAGACTCCTTTGCTTTCCTGAGCTGCCGGAGTTTAGCAGTGAACCAGGGTTTGTCGTTGTTATTCGCACTATGTATAAATCTGGCCAAAAGTGGTACTGCAGCCTCTCCCACTCTCCCTAACTCAGGTTGCCAGATATGCAGACGAATCTGGCTGGGACCATAACAGCTGAATAGACAATTAGACAGTTTTGTCAACAACAAATCTAAAACTAACACTTTTTTCACAAAGATAGAAATCCCGGTTTTATTCCTTGTTTTGTCGTTAATGATTTGAGAATCATAATTCTGCAGCCACATGGTACTTTACCAGTGAGATTATAGCTCAATGCGGTGAGTTATGGCAACCTTGATCACAGACTCTCTGATTGTTGAAACGTTGGAGGGCGGGACATTGAAATGAAAACAATAATAAGATTTAGGGGCTGTAAAAGTAATTTTTGAAATACAAATATCTCTGAACTACAGTTCAAGAAGTATTTGAAAAGAGCATGTTTGATTAATGCCTTTTGACAGACTAGGGCACTTTAATGATGACTTGACATGAAAATCGTACATATTGCTAATTTAAGAAAGTACAGGGAAATATAAAAATCAGAAACATACAATCCCACTACAGAGGAAACCATCAAACATTCACTAAAAATGTCATACAATGTCAGAGTCACTCTAAGCATACTTTCACTGTTTCACTGTATGCTTTTAACTGTTTTTGTTTAACTTTAGGTCCAAGGTTTTTACCCTTTTGTAAGGACCTTGAGAGCCTATAAATTCACCCTATGAATAAAATTAAATTCTATTAAATGTATTCTTGTATCGGGCCTAAATCACAACAGTAGTTATGATTTAACAAAACTGTTGAATTTACCAACACAGATCAGAGAGAATCAAACAGAAATGCAATGATCAAAACACAAAAGGAGCAGAGACCAATGTCCATACATGTAGATCAATGTTGGGTGTCTAAAATGTATTATGATTTCTGTTTTTATTGTTGGCCAGCTGATATCCTGGAGAGTTTCGACAGCCACCACCCCCTGGTCCTGCCTGAGGGGGGGTACCACTTCCATTTGGAGGCTCCGGTGGACGGGTGCGGCCTGAAGCAACAGCTGCACGAGCTCAGGAACTTCATCCATAAATCCAGGGAGCAGCAGGTATTCAGACGATAATCTCATCTTCTTCACATCAAACACATTATTACAAACAACAACCCGGTAATAACACTGTTTATGTCACAGGTCTAAGTTTGCAGAGTTATGGTGAAAAGTGTAGATGAGAAAAATAAGAGAACTTGTGCGCTGAGAAATTACTTTTATAAAAGAAAAATTATAATATCCCGATTGCTGCTCACAAGTCTACATTTGTGCGAAAAAATACACATATTGATTAAATGGGGAAATACACATGAGACCGCCTCACAGGGACTCCGTCTTTGCCCGTTTAACTTTTATTGTACTTCATTAAATCAGAATCATTTTTATTTCCATGTAAGTAACAGGAAGTCACAGACTTGGAAATTGTTTTGGCTCAGTGCAACAGTCAGAAAGAGAGGTAAAGAGTAGAGAAGGCAAAATAAAAATAAATAATAATAACAAAAATCAGCATCACTAATCACTGGCATAAAATTCTAAATAGAATTACAATTACTATATACAAAATAATCATATAAGCTTATAAGTGGCTTATCCACTTCAAAATTATTGAAAGAATAGTTTTTTGGTCCCAGTCCAGCCCTGCTAAACACAAAGCTAAATCTACAATGGAATGGTGTAAACCAAAACATATTTGTTAGCATTGCCAAGTCACAGTTCAGACCAAAGTCCAATAGAAAATCTATTGAAAGACCTGAAAACTGCTGTTTACAAACACTCTTCAACTAATTTGACAGAGCTAGAGTTGTTTTGCAAAGAGCAATGGGATAATTGTTCTGTCACTACATGTGCAAATCTTGTAGAGTCATACTCCAGTTCACACTTGTCTGGAACTTGTGTGTGAATTTTCAGTAAAACATTTCAAAATAAAATATTTACAAAATGTTCAAAAGTTCAAGCTGTATCAATACTTTTTGAGAGGCACAGCCCCAGCAGCAACAGTTGAAAAGTACATTTGCTCCACATATAGGCATGTTGTAACATAGAAGATGTAGAAGATAGACAATACAAATGTAAACTGGATACAACATTAATGTCGAGGTGACAAAGTGCTTAAGAGTTTGCTTTTGTGCCGGTCATTCACATTCTTCTATTTTGACAATAAACAAGTGTCCTGTAGCTGCTAAAACTTGATATCATGATTGAGTCATAATAGTCAGTCCATAAACTGCTTTGACAGAGCTAAATAAGCGGGTTCAAAGAACTAAACAAACGTAGCAGTCCAGAAAATAATAATAATTCTTTTATTTACAAGAAAACTACTGTAACAAAAACAAAAACATACCCATGCAGATCATGCAGTCATGAGGCGGTGCTCTGGCTGCGCTGCAGGAGAAGGACTGAGTTTGCCCCAGTCTTACTAGAATCTGGTCCACCTACAAATCTCTTTATCCTTGAAGACTGTCTCTCATATGGGACATTTTCTCTACCTTCAAATGGGCCCAACGGAAGTAAAAAAAAACACTTTTTATAGTAGAGGAAGAGAGCTCTCTAACCACCAAAACATGATGCCAATTTGTTCAACACGTTTGATTTCTAAGAAAACCATCTGTTTTGTTTGATCTCTACAGGCTCGTCCAAACGCTGACCTCCAAACTGACCACACCGACCCCCCTGCATCACCACCTGCATCACCCTCTGCAACACCCTCTGCATCAACCCCTGCACCACCCTCTGCATCACCCTCTGCATCACCCTCTGCACCACCACCTGCATCACCCTCTGCATCAACCCCTGCACCACCCTCTGCATCACCCTCTGCACCACCACCTGCATCACCCCCTGCATCACCCTCTGCACCACCACCTGCATCACCCTCTGCACCACCACCTGCATCACCCTCTGCACCACCACCTGCATCACCCTCTGCATCACCCTCTGCACCACCACCTGCATCACCCTCTGCACCACCCCCTGCATCACCCCCTGCATCACCCCCTGCATCACCACCTGCATCACCCCCTGCACCACCACCTGCCTCCAGCCCAGAGAGCCGCAGCATGGAGCCTGCAGGAGCTCTGCCGCTGCTATCACAGACACTGCAGCACCTGGAGCTTCTAAACCCCGCTGAGGAGAGCCATCGTCCAACTGTGGACTCCTCCTGCTCACTGACCCCGCCCCACCGCCACATCACTGAGGGCTGTCCTGCCAACGGAGACGTGCTCAGAGAAGGCTGACTGTGCTGAGGCCCAATCCTTCAGGTAATACATGAGTTTCTGTTCACAGTAAGTACATGTTGTAAATAGGCATGGACCACCTTAAAGTCAAAGGTTTAATGATCTACATCAGGGCCGTCCAACTCATGGTTCGTAACAGAATCTTAAAAGCTCTAAATGGGCGGATCAGGGGCCAAAAGCATTGAAGTTATTTTCTTCATGGAAAGTTTGTTCTGCATTTATAGTTATTTTCTTCATGGAAAGTTTGTTCTGCATTTATAGTTATTTTCATTATTCTACCAGTCCAGTTTACAGAAGATGGTTTTTTATTCTCCTCACTGAGAGGAGAGAGGCTCTTGGCTTTGTTCATTCTTTCTTGCATCGTACTCTTGCTTAGTATTTTGAACATGTTTCTTTATTAAGCTATTTCTTCTTCTTGTTCTTGACAGTTTGCATTTATCAATTCTAAACTGCTTGAATATATCTAATTCAATCTGCAAAACCATCTTTGTCTGGATAGTAATATCAGGTACAAGGATTTACCACCCTCAGATTTGATTAAAATTATCCTGTGTAAATGATCCATACATTTTAGAATTGAAGACAGACAGATTTGCAAACCCGCCATGTGACTCTGTATATTCAGCATATTTGATTTATCCTTATATTTTGCTTATTTGCAGGGGAGAGGAGCAGACCCAGCGGCCGAGGACAGGGAAAAGACTGAGTGACCCGAGTGGATTACCAGGACATAATGGACACAGCCCTCACTGTTTGTGTTTATGTGACAGGCAGCTCGACTCTGACACAAATACAGGCACATGAACATTTTCATAAATGTGTTCCTGCTCTTGTTTTTATTATTCTCATCATGTATAGTTTAGCTTCCATATTTGCATGTCCCCATTAGCACCAACAGGGGGCAGTGCGAACACAGCTTTGACTAAAGGCAGCTGTGTATTCCAACTACAGTAGTCTCTCGTTTATCAAAGGGTTATGTTCTAAAAATAGCAAAAGAGCAAACAAATCATTATCCACAAGAGAGCAGCTGGATGTTTTAAGGCTGTAAAACCCTCACACTGATATCAAACCTGTTAGGTGTAGGCCTGAGCGCTGCTGCAGCTGTCAAAAGCCGTGCATACACTGTAAAACATAGCTGCAGACGAGACCACGCTGAGGGTCATGACAGCTCTTTCAAACACAAGCAGACAAAAACAAAAAGGCCCTCCAACAGTTAAAAAACCTTTCTTTGAACATGGCTCATATTATCTTAAAACACCCAAAGCAACACAGGTGCTCAGCTTTTTAAAGGGTGGGGCAACAAGGTTCTGCCTCAATGATGCGGAGTAATGACAGTGACAAATATATATATACAGTTACAGAAATGCATAATGCCCTAAAGGAGAGATGACAGCTGCAGTGGTATGAAATAACATGTTTATTTAAAGATTGATTGTATGTTTAGGTGCAGACCTGTAGAAAAGACTGTAAATGGAGAAAATTAATTAAATATACAACAGGTGAATATACTTACCTTTTTGTTTTTTGTCTAACCCATAGATTTATAACAATATCTGGATAGGACTAAACAAGACTAAATTCACGAGGGCTACCCAGACATTTGCCCCATAGAACTCAATGTAAACTAAAACAGCTCGACCTCAGCTGACAGAGAACTTACAACTTTCATAAACGTCAGATTTTTATGGGTTTATCCTGAACTTTTTTTGTATTAAAGCCTTCGGTTTTCTATAAATCAACACTTTATAGAAAGTGCTCGCCCACATATTGACGAGTTCCGCTAATCTTTCGGTGCCCGTCTGCCCAAGCCCCAATGATCCAAGATGGCGTCCTATTCAAAGTAATGGCTTGTGCTCAGTGCTTGCCCATATTTGGTCATCTCCCTGGTCCTCCCGGTTAGGCGCAGTGGACGAGCTCCCATAATACTTTGCGCCAAATACATGTGTGTGTCTCTCATGCACGAGCACAGAGGGGCACGGCGCATCCTGAGCTGAGCTGCTGATCAGAGCGGAGTTAGAGCGTGGTTAGAGCGGGAGATGATAGAGCTGATAAGGGCACGGTCTGTTTTGGCTGAAGCAGATCATGATCTGATTTATGTATTTTATACTGCATTTCTGTAATTTTAATGTATTTGTATTTTATATCATGTATTTCTGTGTTTTTATTGATCCACACTGGTGCTTCATCTGCAAATGACGTACCTCACTGATAAATAGTTATTTGAATTTGAAATGAATTCATGAGCTGTACAATTACTTGAAATGTATCTGTGACTTGTTGTGCATAGTCATGTACACAATTGAAATAAGTGAGTGAGTACATAGATGTAGTATATATGTATGTCACAAGCTGAGGGCGGTACCACGGCTCTGGAAGACCTGAGTGGCACCAGTCCCCAAGACACCACGGGTCAAAGACCGCAGCGACTTCAGGCCGGTGGCTCTGACATCCCACTGCATGAAGACACTGGAGAGACTGGTCCTGGGACACTTCAGCTCCACAGGACCCGGCCCCAGTGAACATTCAGGGAAGGGACATTGAGAGAGTGGATTCTTACAAGTACCAGGGTGTTCATCTGAACCACAAACTGGACTGGACTCATAGTAGAGACTCCCTCTTTCTTGAAGGGTCGGCACTAGATTATATACGGAATCGGGACAAAACCGGAAGTAACAATCCTACTTTCGAATTAGTTTTAGACTAATAAGTCCTTAAAATGGTGACTGGTTAAGTTTTAGGTGTCTGAGTAAGATGGTTAAGGTTATGGTTAAGGCTGGGTTGGGGTTACTCTTTGGGAATGGCTGGTTAAGTTTAGGCAATAATACGTAGTTGGTTATTTACTTCCGCTTCTGTCCCAATTCCGTGTATGATCTAGTGCTGACCCTTCTAGAAGGGCCAGAGTGAAGGCCTTCAATGGAAGTCCAGCTTTGTCCTGGATTTAACAAGAAAAAAAGTTCAGGTTGACAAGGGACTCTAAATTCCCCACAAAATCCAACCTTTATCTCTGTCAGTTTAATTTACATTGAGTTCTATGGGACTTTTTTCTGGGTAGCCCGCGTGAATTTAGTCTGCAGTACTTGGGCGCCCCCTGTGCCCATGGGTGGGACAGCTATATGCATTTATTATTATAGATCCATGGGTTGTCTTAATATATACAGTCTGGTTGTCCCCAGGAGACAGTGCAGGCAGGGCTGGACTGGGACAAAAAAACGGCCCGGGCATTTTTTCCTTTTTAGCGGCCCAGGCAACTCAAAAGTTTCAAGGAGCCATATTTGACAACAACAACAAAAAACAGCGTTGTATAAGGCTTATATGAAGGTAACAGGGGCTGAAGCTGTATTAGCTACATTAGCTACCTTAGCTACATTAGCTATATTAGCTATATTAGACTAATATCTAAATGACAAAGTAAAGGCTAAACACATAAAAACCATTCATGATTATCAAATGTGTATTTTCATTGCAGCGTGTCCTGGAGAGAATGACGCACCACGTGACAACTCTGCTTTAACTTTAACTTCCATTTTTTTGCCTTCATGCAATTGTACAAATACAGTAAATAAATCTGCTTTTTGGCTCCAAGTTCACCTGCATCACTGTCTGTTCATATCCATCACGTCACAGGCTGAAGTTTGCTGGAGCTGAATGTCCTTAATGGCCTTTTCTTTCACTGTCTTATTACTTATACAAGTTTTTGCAGCATTGAAAAACATTAATGTTTTTCCTCCTACCGAAAACCACATTGAAACTAGAAATAAAATATAGCCCTCACACTCCATTTTCAGACATTTTTGAAAAGGCTCCAGGAGCCACTTTAGGGGCACTAAAGGTTGCCGACCCCTGGTTTATACAGTATGTGGAAGCAAATACTGTAGAGGATCAGGATGTCTGCAGTTTCATCAATAAAATAAAGTACAATAGTCTACATTAAACAGAGTAATAAACATGTTTCAAAGTGAGGGAGGTGAAACAGACAACACTATTGTTTGTTACAGGGATGAGCTTTGGTCAAAAAAGACTGAAATGCATATTTTCAGCCATTTGCTGGCTCTAAATCTGTTTAATCTGTTCACAACATTTTACTTTTGGGCTCAAACATGAACTTTTAATGCAATGTAAAATGTAGGTACCCGAGCTTTAATTTAGAGGAGAGGGGAGACGCGGACTGTTTCCTGCAGCGGTGTATTTATTGGGTGCACAAATTACGAAAAGACTTGCATGGTCCTGTGCGCGTTTATGGTCTTGGGTGCATGGTCACGTTCAGGGCTGGACTGGCCATCGGGCGTACCGGGCAATGCCCGATGGGCCGATGCCCATATTTGGGCCGGTCTGTCTGCCTCATACAAAAAAGATGTTTGTGAAAAGTGTAAATCCGTTGAGAAATGTTCGAGGGGAGCGCGTGTGTCCGCGGGGCACCTGCTGTATGTACTCGAACGGGATTCCACCACCTCAGCGGCCGCAGTGTTCCCGCATCCAGCGGCTCTGAGCTGGACGCGGGAACCGCTCACAACACAACACGGTGAGCGCGTAGCCGCAACGTGATCATGTACCCATGACCATAAACGCGCACAGGACCATGCATGTCTTTTCGTAATTTGTGCACCCAATAAATACACCGCTGCAGAAAAGAGTCCGCGTCTCCCCTTTCCTCTAAATTAAAGCTCGGGTACCTAAATTTTCAATTGCATTAAAAGTTCATGTTTGAGCCCAAAAGTAAAATGTTGTGAACAGATTAAACAGATTTAGAGCCAGCCAATGGCTGACATTATGCATTTCAGTCTTTTTTGACCAATTCTCATCCCTGTAACAAACAATATTGTCTGTGCCCACCTCCCTCACTCTGAGACATGTTTATTACTCTGTTTAATGTGGACTATTGTACTTTATTTTATTGTTGAAACTGCAGACATCCTGATCCTCTACAGTATTTGCTTCCACATACTGTATAAACCAGGGGTCGGCAACCTTTAGTGCCCCTAAAGTGGCTCCTGGAGCCTTTTCAAAAATGTCTGAAAATGGAGTGTGAGGGCTATATTTTATTTCTAGTTTCAATGTGGTTTCTGTAGGAGGAAAAACATTCTTGACGTTTTTCAATGCTGCAAAAACTTGTATAAGTAATATTCAATTTTAGTATTTCTGTCAACGTAGTGCGTCATATCCTGTGACGCGGCCCGCGCCAGGCGGCCGCTGCTGTAAACTAACCGGCGTGTGCGCATCATAGACTGTGTGTGCGCATGGATCCCAAAGATAAAGAGAGAGAGTCGATAAGACTGGACTAAGAATGAGAATGAACATTTGCTTTCAGTAAATGAAGGACTGCTTCATGTTTGCGATGTAATGAAAAGTTTTGTTGCAACAGGAGGAACAATGAAGCTCTAAACACGTTCACTGAAAGATTCATTCATCATAAAGTCAGAGCACCTATTTTCAGACTTCAAATACCTCCGCAAAGACGGTGAAAGAAAAGGCCATTAAGGACATTCAGCTCCAGCAAACTTCAGCCTGTGATGGATATAAACAGACAGTGATGCAGGTGAACTCGGAGCCAAAAAGCAGATTTATTTACTCTATTTGTACAATTGCATGAAGGTTAAACTTAAAGCAGAGTCGTTACGTGGTGTGTCATTCTTTCAGGACACGCTGCAATGAAAATACACATTTGATAATCATGAATGGTTTTTATGTGTTTGTAGCCTTTACTTTGTCATTTAGATATTAGGCTAATATAGCTAATGCAGCTAATGTAGCTAATACAGCTTCAGCCCGTTACCTTCATATAAGCCTTATACAATGCTGTTTTGTTTTTTTTGCGGCTCCAGACAGATGTTGTTTTTAGTTTTTTTGTCAAATATGGCTCCTTGAACCTTGAAGTTGCCTGGGCCCCTAAGAAGGAAAAAATGCCCGGGCCGTTTTTTTGTCCCAGTCCAGCCCTGGTCACGTTGCGGCTACGCGCTCACCGTGTTGTGTTGTGAGCGGTTACCGCGTCCAGCTCAGAGCCGCTGGATGCTGGAACACTGCGGCCGCTGAGGTGGTGGAATCCCGTTTGAGTACATACAGCAGGTGCCCCGCGGACACTCGCGCCCCCTCGAACAGTTCTCAACGGATTTACACTTTTCACAAACATGTTTTTTGTATGAGGCAGACAGACCGGCCCAAATATGGGCATCGGCCCTTCGGGCATTGCCCGGTATGCCCGATGGCCAGTCCAGCCCTGAGTGCAGGAGGGGGGGGGGGATGGGAGTTCTTGGACAAACTAACATTGATGCTAGACCATGACCCCTGCAGGACACGTGAGAAGTTTCAGTGACAGACTCTGAGAGGTCTTTACTTCCTGCTGCTGTCAAGCTGTACAACGAACAACGAGGACTAACGAACACCTCCCATGTAATGCATCTGTGCAATAATTTAAGTAATGTTAGAATATGTAACATGGGACCACGTGTGTCACTTTACCCAGAACCTCGTGCTGCTACAGCACAGTGGTTACGTGACAACATTTGAACCCTCAGAGATAATGACTTGGTGGCATGTTGGTGTGTGCACATGTTAATGTGCGCCGTGCGCGGCACCAACATGGACTTCAGAGGCGCGTGCATGCGATGCGCGTGCACACACCATATACAGTCTATGGTCCAGAGTCGTGGGCATTTTTTCACGGTACGTGTTGTGCCTCTGTCTGGAGATTGAGTCTAAATCAAGCCACGGACACCACGGACTTCATCCAGGACTTGTTCATATCGCGCTCACGCTGTCACCGCATCATGGAAGCCGTTCATAGTTACAGTTTATTAATAACGTGGCCCTTTGTACAAACATTCCCTAACTACATATTTGTTTGGTATTGGTCCCAAGCCCATATTCCTTGAGTGGCGTTGTTCTTATCCTTCTGTTCTATGCTCCCGCGCATGCTACAATTTCTTACCTATTCGTGCACTAGAACATTTGATTTTTATGCAGATGTTTATATAAAAGTATATATTTCTTGCACTAGAGAATACAGATAGCTAAGATCACTAGCTAAAGATAGTGATTTTCTTTTATAGAGTAAAGTGTTGTGTTTTAATATTGTTAATATTCACTTATCTTGTGCTGTGTGCTCCTCATTGACTTGTGATGCAACACTGATATTTCCCCACTGTGGGACTAATTACAAAGATCTCTTATTTAGAATTTCGAAATCGCAAAAGGGGCAGTGCATGCAACTGCCACTTCAGACTATGCTTCAGACTATGCTTCAGACACTGTAGTGCTGCTCGTTGTTCACTTGAGGGCGCCAGAGCATAGATAGATAAGTTACATTACTTACTTTTCAGAAAATAATATTTGGTGATCATTTCTCCAAATTCCATTGTTTTGAATAGGAGCAGTCAAAATGACAGCTCTGGGGTGGTATCACAATTCCGGGAGAATCTCTTATTGTGAAGTCAGCTCTTATTTTGAAGGATTCTCTTATTGTGAAGGCGCCTCCCGGAACCCTCCTCCCTCCTCTACGCTCGTTACGCACCGTGTCTCGCGGTCTCGGTCTCGGCTCCAGAGCAGCTCCGTGCGCGCGCTCCGCTGACGTCCGTGTGTCCGCCGTCCACCTGGCGCGTCCCCGTCTCCACAACAGCGCGTCTCTGGCTCACGCTCAGACCCGAGTCTTAGGATCAGAGCTGGATCCAGTTTGGGAGAAAAGAAAATAGGCTCTTTCGGACTTTTTCAGAAGAAGACGCGACAGTGCAGGACACGTATTTGCCTCCGGTCCCTGGTTCTGCCTGAGCGGTGAGTTCATGTTTACACTGGAGTCTGGAGCGAGTCTGGAGCGAGTTTGGGACCAATCTGCACGAGTCCTCTTCCTTCTTTTGAACTGGGAAATACTCTGATACCATACTGGTTTTCACTTTAGTTTTAGTTTGATATTTTAAACGTAATTAACCAGAATTCTCCTGATTGTTATAGCGTTATCTCAGGTGAAAAGTTTGATAATTATAAAAAAAACAAGAGATCTGCGTCTAAATTAGGCTAATTCACTGATATGTAAATATATAAAAAAGCGTATTACTGTTGTAGTAGCAGTTTGGAACAATCTCAACATTAAAAGTATTGTGAAGTGCTAAGTTATGACAAATTCCCACACACTGTTAATTTGTCCTCACTTCTACTTCAACAGTTCGAAAGTTTTTAGTGCAAGTTTAGTACTATTTTCATAGCTATTTATTTTATCTGGTTTGAGCTATTTTTGTATTTTTGGTGCCGGTCAGGGCATTTAATTTGTAAATGTATTTATATAATATAAGAATGGGATAGGAGTTTATAAGACTTTTCTTCTTCTTCATCCTACTCCTGTTCTTCCTTTCATGGGATGTCTTACTGTTGTATTTGCTGGATTAGGGTTATATTTTGTTGCATTACCATGAAAAAAGCGAACAAAATATATAAATATAAAATAATGCTTTCCTAGTTTGCCATAAGTTATATTTTTGCCCATCTGATCACTTTTACGGCATCAAAATAAAGACAAGACGTGTTTCTGTCAGTTTGCTCTCTCATCCAATCAGCAATGAAGAAATGCAAACGTGGAATGGAAATGAGCTGGTTACAAATATCAATACAATTATTCTATAAGTCAGTTTTTTTTTTTTTGCAAACATTCAAATATCTTGTCTAAATCTTTGATCAGCAGTGTATGAAGAATCCAGGGAGGTTTTTTCATACAGGTTTTCCCATAGACTGTGTGTAGTCCTCAGATTATGGGTGCTCCTGGGACATCACACAGACAGTCCCTGAGTCCCGGGACGGTCCCGTTCAGGCCGTGGCACGAGGCGACAGGCTGCTTTTAGATCACACATTCTCTGGCATCTTCTGCTGCAACTGCTGCGAGTGCTGAGTGTTCACGATATGTTTGTTGCCCCACACAGGCTTTAAAGTTACAGTATGCTTTATTGTCCCTGTAGGGCAGAGGTGTCACAAAGTCAAGGCCCGGGAGCCAGATGCGGCCCGCAAATGAGTTATCTTGGCCCCAGGGATGATATTTGATTAGTATTAGAACCGAGCGCACAGAGGCATAAGAAAATTTTGGATTATTAATTTAATAATTACAGTTTTTTCCTGTTGCTTGAACACCATAGACACATGCTTAGACCAAAGTTACAGAACCTGAAGCTTTTTTACTGAACCTAAAACTAGGGATGTACCGAATCCAAGTTTTTGGGGTTCGGCCGAATACCAAATCCACTGGTTAAGATTCTGCCGAATCCGAACCCGAATACCGAATCATTTTCCATCCTCAGTCCATTAATGTTTCATATGCAAATGTTTTAACAGCGGCGGTTTTGTGTACTGTTTAGGGTCCTTACCACCACGAGACAAATCTGCATTGAAAATTGGACATGTAGCTCGACCAGAATCTATTATTATAACATTTATAATAATCCCGTTTATCATTAAACACAAATACATTCAGTTCACAGCAGTGTAAAACTTCAGAGATAAAGTACATATATTACTGTGCATGTCATGTAAAAATAAGAGCTAAAGCACCATACATGCATAAATAGCTTCCACTGGTTCAGGTCAAAACATTATATATATGGACATTTGAGAAATATGCCAAACTCGTAGAGACAAGTTGAGAGAAGCTAATGCTAAGAGGCTAGCTGCCTAAACATGGACTCACCAACTCTGCTTCTACAGTCATACGCAGCTCAGATGACAAGTACCTGGCACTGGTAATCGGCTCCATAAAGTTGGTGAATAGGCAGTTAGTTTATGATCCATCAGAACCGCATTACAGGTGAAAACAAGAATCATAACATCCCCTCGCACCGGCATATGACTAGAGCTAATTGGTCCACGGGGATCACATGACCAGGAAGAGACCTCAGTGCACCCGAAGAGGAACAGAGAGCAAGAGGATATAAACCTCCGCTAAAGTGCATTTTTATTTACACTTCCGAACGAATCTGATTTCCGTGACGAATCCAACAGCCACAGCGCGCATAGTGTAAGTGCAGGGTTCGGGTTCGGTGGGGAAAAATTCTAAGGTTCGGCCAGAAACCGAACCCCGTCAAAAAAGCCAATATTCGGCCGAATCCGAACCCGAATCCTGGATTCGGTACATCCCTACCTAAAACACAGTCAAACCATTCCTTAAACAACTTTGTTCATAAATGCAACTTTGTTCATAAATGCAACTTTGTTCATAAATGCAACTTTGTTCATAAATGCAATCCTGTGTTATCATTGGGAAAGCACATCTATTCAAAATACTGAAACACACACTTGAAAATGCGACACACATCAGCCAGACATAAACTCAGTTTAGCCATTTTCAGAACTTTAAAGTACGAAGGCAGGAAGAGCAAGAGAGAGAAAGAGGAAGACAAGGAGATATGAGGAGGACGTGGTTGAAGATATTTCCGATGACATTAGAGCAACTTTGGAGGATCATGTGATAAACCGTGGCCTCACACTGAGGGAAACAGAGCCACAGCTGCATCAGGACCTTCAGATGGAAACATGTCTTCAACTCTTAGACTGGATATACAGCATTTAGACTACAGCATTTACTGTACTGTCTCTACTGCAGACTGTATCTACAGTATTTACAGTACTTTACTGTATCATGTACTGTAAAGGCCTGTGAACACTCGCGCGGCGCTGGTTACGGTTGCAGTTACGTTGGACCTACGTAACCACAGTAGGTGGTACAGACGCGCGTTCCCCTTGCGGAGTTTTGAAGAGAATGTTGTAATCCCACAACCCACCAAGTGATGGCGATCTCACAAGAGTTGCCTGAGAAACCAAAGCGGTCCCATTTACGCTGCTACTTTCTCCTCTTCAGAACAAAAACAATGGCAAAGCTGCTTGAGATCATTACATGTGTTTCTACTGTAGGATTATGTGATAGTTCTATGGACTCATCGTTTCAACTCATTTAACTGTGATGTGGTGAATGAAGACACAGTTCTTATTGGAAACATAGTTATTATTCAATTGTATATAGCACAAACAGCAAAACAACAAGTGGTAAATATGAGACAAACATGAACTATTAACAAGTGCAGGAGGAATGCAACAGACGCAATGAGCTACAATTCAAACAAAGACAGGAACAGTGCAAAACAAACGTCTGCACAGTTTATAAGTTATATATATGTTAGATATGCAACAGAACTGAACAGTCCACAGTCTCCGCGTATATCAGGCTCTGCCATGAGCCCAAACTACTTTTCCTTAGGTTCCTTCTAAGCGCGAAGCAGTCTGCTCCTACAGCCGCTCCATGCTTCACAGAAAGTAATCACACAAGGACCAATCACAGCGGAGCTTCCTTGCGGCGACCCTTACGTAGTTAGACATTTTTGAGGGTGCGCGGCAGGCTACGTAAGGGCCTTGCGATGATCCACGCACGTCACGTCACCTCCGTAATCTCCGCGCGACTATACTGCTTAACTCTCTACTGCAGACTATATCTACAGTATTTACAGTACTTTACTGTATCACATGTACTGTATTGTGAGTTGGCTATTGCTTCTTTTGAAAAATGGTAGTTTTGTGAAACATACAATTCAGTAAAGTACATAGTACTGTACCATTGAGATGTCACAATACTGTGTACTGTATACAGTACTGTAAAAAAAACCCGAAACTTTTAGTAACAACTTGTGGTTGGATATTTCTGCAGAATGACCTACTCAAGGTGCTCCACAGCTGTTCAATCTGAAGAGACCAAAGACACGATAAATACATTAAAATGATTTATTTGTTTGGCGCATTGACCCCGGCAGTGACACTTGCAGCTATGAGATCGATTGCAGCTGAGATGATCTCAGATCCCCCGGGGTCAATCACTGGTGGTGGCTAGAGTATGGTGTGAATGGGGCGTAGGCGGAGCAGGAGCCGGAGCGGGAGCCAGAGCGGGAGCCAGAGCGGGAGCCAAGAGCCAGAGGGGGTGCTGGGGAGGTGGTGGGTGTTTAAGAGCCTCAGGAAGCGTTGTTTGTCAGGAAGTGGTTGCCTTTTAAACTGCCCGCTTTGCTCTGAGAGGGTTGGCAGGAGGCTGGCCTGGCTGTGTGATTGGCTGAGGCTCGAGGCTGGCAGAGCTGTGTGATTGGCTGAGGCTCGAGGCTGGCAGGCACTCGGTCTTTCAGTCTGAACATCCGCTTGAGCTTCATTTCAATCTGAAGAGACCAAAGACACGATAAATACATTAAAATGATTTATTTGTTTGGCGCATTGACCCTGGCAGTGACACTTGCAGCTATGAGATCGATTGCAGCTGAGATGATCTCAGATCCCCCAAAAGAGGAAGCCACGCTATGTGTGCCGGGGAATGCGCAGGCCTCCCGTGGGAAGCTGCCTATCTGGAGGCGTGGGAGCCTTGCATGGAGGCAGCATTGCATCGGGGCAGCATTGCATAGAGGCAGCATTGCATCGGGGCAGCATTGCATAGAGGCAGCATTGCATCGAGGCAGCATTGCATAGAGGCAGCATTGCATAGATTGCATAGAGGCAGCATTGCATAGATTGCATAGAGGCAGCATTGCATAGATTGCATAGAGGCAGCATTGCATAGAGGCAGCATTGCATAGAGGCAGCATTGCATAGAGGCAGCATTGCATGGAGGCAGCATTGCATGGAGGCAGCATTGCATGGAGGCAGCATTGCATGGAGGCAGCATTGCATAGATTGCATAGAGGCAGCATTGCATAGAGGCAGCATTGCATAGAGGCAGCATTGCATGGAGGCAGCATTGCATGGAGGCAGCATTGCATGGAGGCAGCATT